TCTTAGAAGATTTCTCTCATCCTAAAATGAAACCCATACCCATCAGCACTCTCCATTCTCCTCCCTGCATCCCTCAAAAATGAATCTATCTGTCCCCTGGATCTGCCTAATCTAGACGTTTCATCATTCCACATAAATCCAATCATACAACATGTGATCTTTTGTGACTTTTTTTGAGCCCCATCTGCTTCCGCCCTGACAATTCTCCCTTAGCCTCCAGGATACTCTCTCTCTGGATGGTCCTCCTCAATCTTCTCTTCTGTTCCACTCTGATTCTGGGGCTCTTTGGGGTTCTGGCCCAGGCCCTTGTAATGACATTCCTTTTCTGAGTTTGCCTCCTCTCCTAAGGCTCCCACTGCTTTGAGAATTCCAATGACCTCCACATCAACATTCCAGCTCTCTCTTAAGTCCTGTGGAATTCACACCTTGGCCTGTCCCCTCAGTGTCCCACAGGTAGAGCAGGATGCTGCATTCTTTCCCACAAGCCTTTTTGGTTTCCCATCCGGCTCCTGGGACAAGCTACTGTGCAAGCCAGAGCACCACACTTGCTCCTTCCTCCATTTCCAGCTCATCTCCAAGTCCTGTCCATTCTCCCTTGTGGTGTCCCTTCCCCGCCCCCCCCCCCCCCCCCCCCCGTTTCCCTCCACTGCCAGCATCCAGGCCACATCCCTACTCACCTGCTTCCCTGGCAGCCTCCACATCCAGGCCATCCCCTCAGGCTGCTGAACAGTGTCCCCACCTGGGTGAGATCCTTCAGTGCTGTCCAGTGCCTGCAGTGAAGTGTTACCCTGCAGCATGGCTTACGAGGCCTGGAAAGATCTATTTCCTTCACACTCCCCAGTCTTTTTTTTTTTTTTAATTTAACCTTTATTTACTTGTTGTTTATTTTTTTAATGTGGTGCTGAGGATCGAACTCAGGACCTCACCTGCCTCACCTGTCCTAGGCAAGCACTCTACCTCTGAGCCACAACCTCAGCTCTCCCCAGTCTTTTGTTTCTCACCACTCCAGGAACTCAGCTCAATTTCCCTGGGCTCCTCAGAGGTGCCAGGCCCTCCCCACCCCTCATTACCTGTGTTGGTTCAGATCTGTCTCTGGGGTACCACACTGGGATAGGAGACTCCATTGGCCTTCCCTGCAGTTGTACTTAGCTAAACTACTCATTTAATTGCAAATTCCAATCTGAGTTCCAACAGGGTAGAACTGCCTTTCCTGCTTTGCACATATCCAGCACACAGGGCATGCTCAAATATAATGAATGCAGACTGATCACTTTACATGCCATATCCACTTGACCTAAACTCAAGTCATTTATCGTGCCAGTGCCTGCTATTTTCCTTGAATTTTGAAGAATGGTGGTTATAAAACCCTAATCAGAAAGAATGGTCTGGAGATTGAGAGCTTTGAGTTAGTTTCTGGTTGGCTTTGAAAAGCATTCCCCTTTTGGTCCCGAACCCTTGTTATCAGCAATTCCCATGTGTTCTTTCCTGGACTCTGATGGTTTGTTCGTGGCTGGTGTGTGGTCTGAATTGAATCTGGAAGGCCCAAACACAGCAGGTCCTTGCTACAGTGCTGGCCCATCCCTCTGTGCCTGAAGAGGTCACTCTGTTCAGCTTACAGGAGAACGCCATTGGGGATGAGGGAGCTTCTGCGGTGGCCAGTGCGCTAAAGGCAAACACAGCCCTCACTGCTCTCTAGTAAGTCCCTGTGGTGCCAGGAGCCCAGGAGCCCAGCTCCTTCACCATCCTCTCATGCTGCCCGCCATCTTTGTTTACAGTCAAGAAAGGTGTGTTTGATTATCAGTAACTGGGAAATCAAACACCTAGAGGCATGAATTAGGGGTACCATGTGTCCTCCTCCAGTAAATCCAGGAGATTGCTTCTGCTTTCTGCACCCTGTGTCCAGACCTCCGTCTCAGGCATCAGGGTGTAGGTGGGAGACGCAGTAGTATTCTCTGGACAGGTCATAGACCAACAATCTGCAATGCTGTTTCTCCACTTCTACTCCCCGTGAAGGGTGGACCTTTTGGAGGGAGGCCTTGCCTGCTTGCACTGATTGCCCCTCCTCTTGTAGCCTCCAGGTGGCCTCCATTGGTGCACCAGGGGCCCAGGCGCTGGGGGAAGCCCTGGCTGTGAACAGAACGCTGGAGATTCTTGAGTGAGTATTCCTGTCTCCGGCAAGTCTTTTGCTCAAAGAAATCAAGCTATGGATTCATAGTGGATACCAATTGACATGGAAACTCACAGATGATCTTCAGTATTTCAGGTCATGTGTACCCCAGCGTCTCTATTCCCACTCCCTGCCTTTTTCCTGGAGTCACTAGTTTGTCCTGCTCTTTGGGTTGGCCTTGCCCAGGCTAAACATGTGTGGAGCCCCTGTTTAGGTCTCCGTGGTAGCAGTGGCAATGGATTCTGGTCTCTGAGAAGGTCCAACCCCTGGTGAGGGAGCTTAAGCACCATGAAGCTCTTGGGTGTGTCCAGGTCATCCCTGCTCTTATGGTTCCCTGTGAGGCTAAGTGCACTGGTCACTTGCTGGATGGAGTGCTGCATTGCCCATCTCAGCCCAGCCTTTCTTGGAAATGGAAAAGGAAAGGACTCCAACAAAGCACCCAAGCCTGGGCTGGCCTCAACCCCCTTCGTGTGTCCTGCTCCCTAGAGCCCAGCCTGGTTCTAGTGCCTAAAAGTGAGGAAGGCGCAACCCTCACCTCCAGTGATTGCCGAAGTCCAAGTAACCCCACATCCACCTGGAGAGGTGCCATTGTCACTTCTCAGCCTGTCCCTGTACCTTAGGTGTCCTGTTTTTCCTGACAGCTTACGAGGAAATGCCATTGGAGTGGCAGGAGCGAAGGCCTTGGCCAGCTCACTGAAGATTAACTCCAGTCTCCGAAGGCTTAAGTGAGTGGCTGTCAAACCTGCCTGTGTCCTGGAGCAGCATACTGCTGTGCTGGATCTTCCCTGTGAGCTAAAATGCTCCTGATTTCCTCTAGCTACTCCTCTATTAAAGTCCATATCCTTTGTCGGTGGCTTTGTTCCTTCTGCTTAAGTCAGAAATCACTTAAAATCTGCACTTAGGGTCTTGGGTGGGGCAACCTGACTGCTGACAGACACCATCATGGTCAAATGCCATCTCACAGTTGTGGCACCTACAAACAAGTCAAACCCAGAACTGCTTGTCCTCCCTGCCCCCAATAAGGTAATGTCTCCTTAGGCATTTCTCTGGTCCTGATGACTCACTGTAGTGACTCCATCTTTTCTCTGCCTAGTCTTCAAGAGAACTCCTTGGGGATGGATGGGGCCATATGCATTGCCAGTGCTCTGTCTGGGAACCATGGGCTGCAGCACATCAAGTGAGTAGCTTCACTAGCACTGGCTCTTTCCACTTTTGCCCCACCTTCAGAACTGATCCCAGGTCAGGCCCTGCCTTTAGTTCAATTCTGGGAACCAGTGCCCAGGCCTCCCAGCAGCTCCACAGGGGAATGCATTCTGAGGAGGAGCCAGCTACAGACTCATCTGTGGGAGGGACTGTGGAAGCACAAAGGTTCCTCAGTTGCTATGGTGACCACTGCTCTACTCAAGGGAACGGGTGGGTGCTGAGCCCTGTCCTAACCCTTCTCTATTCTAGTCTCCAGGGAAATCAAGTTGGGGACTCTGGTGCCAGGATGATCTCAGAAGCTATCAAGACCAAAGCTCCCTCATGCACTGTGAAGATGTGAGCAAAGCCAGTCACTGGTGGAGAGGATGGACAGATTCCAGAGAATGAAAGCTTCTGAACAGAAAGTGATCTCTGGTCACAATCCTGCATTCTGGGAATGCTGCTGACCCAGTACAAGAGCTGGTCTCCTGCACAGAGGAAAAAAGGGTGCTACAAAGGAGGTCTCAGGCACCTTTTCCTAGTCCAGGGCAAGTCCTGACGATGGTGGATGGAAATTCTGCAATGGCAGAGAGAAGGAGCTGCTACCAAGGGACTTGAGGACAAAAGTCTCAAAGTTCATCAATGTAGGGAGTTGGTTCCACGTTATTTATATCCAAAGTATTTAAAAGTTCCAACTTTGAACAAATTTAGCTGGGTACAGTAGTATAATCTTGTAATCCCAGCTAATTGGGAGGCTAAGGAAGGAGGATGGCAAGTTTGAGGCCAGCCTGGGCAAGTCAGCAAGACTCTGACTCACAATAAAATTTAAAAAGGGATGGAGAGGTAGCTTGGTGGTAGAGCACTTACTTAGAAGTATGAAGCCCAGGGTTTAATTCCCAGTACTAACACCCCGCGCCCCCGCAAAATTACACCCTTTTTTACCCTTCATCTGATGAAAAAAATCATCCCTTTCTCTGGAATGAGTTGCCATCTTCAAGTCCATGAAGGACATAAGTTTGGCAGGGGTGACAGTGGGGACCTTTCTTCCCATTCTTAAGAAGGAAAGACTTTTGAGTGATCCTTATAGACATAGAAAAATTAAAGGAAATTTGTGAAGATAAATGAAGAATTTAATTCTAAGATTTTGGAGATGGAGACAAAAGTCTCCAAGGATTCTGCCAGTTTTGATTCACTCTACGTAAGATCTCTTGGAGAAGGATGATGTCTGCCACATTATCTGAAGTCTGGCACACTTGTTAGTCAATGCCGGTTCCTTGATGTTGTTATCCTGTGTTAGGCTTCCAAAGCCTCTCCTGTGGGTACGGCTTCCCTACAGAGATAAGCAAGCTGAGCTTCCATGCGGCAGAATTCCATAGCTATCTGTCTGGATTGAAAAGGGAAAATCCAAACAAACATCATAGCACTCAAAAACTAACCAACCAAGAAAAATGTTTATGAAGACCATTAAGTGATTATCACTTATAATTGTGAGAAGATGTAACTGCCATTCAAAATATTTATTTAAAAATAGGTATCCACTGTGGCTCAGTGGTAGAGCACTCACCTAGCATGTGTGAGGCACTGGGTTTGAGCCTCAGCACCACATAAAGATAAATAAAGGTATTGCCCATCTACAACTAAACAATAAAGATATTTTTTAAAAAGTTTATTTATTTATTTATTTATTTTTAAAATACAGGTATCCAGCCAGGTACAGTGTTGTAATCCCAGCAACTTCGGAAGCTGAGGCAGGAGGACTGTAAGTTCAAGACCAGCCTCAGCAATTTAGCAAGGCCCTATGCAAAATTTAGTGAGATCTTGTCTCAAAATAAAAAAATAAAAGGGCTAGGGATATGGCTCAGTAGCTAAGTCTAATCCCTCATACCAAAAAAAAAGCAAGGGCATCCAGAGTCGTCATGGATGTTGACCCTGAGAGGCAATGCTGCTATTTATAAAGGGGGAGAGGTGCCTTAGGAACTTGAAATCTGACATATGCTACCTTAACAATCAAGGGACAAATGGCCAGCACATTCCCTGATGCACTGCCTTTAGGACATAACAGCTTATGTAGCGTTCTTGCCAAAAATGTTCATCTGAACCTAATCATGAAGGAATGATGGTACAAAATCCAAACTGAGGGGCCATTTTGCAAAAGCAGCCCAACCTCTTAAAAAATATCACTGTTATGGTAAACACAAAAGGCTGGAGATTATTTTAAACGAGATTAAAGAGGCCTAACAAATGTTAATGCAAAATCTTTGATTGGATCTGCAGGAAAAAAATTCTCTATAAAGAACATTATTTGGAAATTGAAGACGTGAACATTGTCTTACATTAGAGATATATTTTTGTTGGGTACAGAATTCTACGTGACCGTTTTTTCTTTCAGTACTTTTAAGAGATTGCTCTATTGCCTCTTGTTTGCACTGTTTTTACCTCAATTGAGAGCTCAGCTGAATAGATAAGAAGGTAGCAACCAAATGCTGGAGAAAGCCACTCCCTGCAGAAGCTGAGCACTGGAGAAGTCGGAAAGGCCAAAGCTGTGGAGAATAAAAGGGTGCCCCTCTAGGGACTTGAAGCAAGCCTAACTTAAAATTAGAAGGCAAACCCCTTTTTCCACCCAAGCCTCCCCAGCACCCCACAGATAAGGCTTTATGGCATACTGGCTGCAAAGGAGAAACATTTACAAAGTCTGGCTCTATTACATCACCACAGAGCAGGCTGAAAAGGTAAATATGGAGTTGAGGCAATACACTGATAATAGAAAAAGGTTTTTTTTTTTTTTTTTGTCTTTTCCCATTTTCAATTTTGGGCAGTTTCTACTGCTGTGTTTTCAGGGTCAGCATATCACCTGCTGTTAATTGCATCTCACACATTTTCATCTCAGGCTTTTTTAATCTCTGGAAGTTTTGTTTGAGGTGACCCTTGGGTCACAGCTCAGCTTAACACTTCTGTTTTTCATGTTCTCATCCACTCCATTCTGGTTCTTGTTAACCTTGCCTCCTTTGAAATTTTTCTTTTTCTCTCATATAAAATTCTAGTGGAATTTTAGGAAGACAGAGGTAAATTAATGTATTCTGTCCATCATGTTTAACTGGAAGTTTCCCATTTGCATAAGTGATTATATGCTATTACCACCCAGATGTACCTTCCTTACCTGCTATTCTTCCTGTATCTCTCAGGTAACAAGCATCCAAAACAAAACTCCCCTTCACCTTCAATCATTCCTCTTCACCAGCCCTTCCTAGATAACAGTCTTCAAAGCCTGTCCGTTCTCCTGAGGTCCCTTCTGAAAAATGAACCTAGTTCTTGAGGTCATCACCAAGAGCTTGCTAACCATCTTGCTGTCTTCTGTTCTAGTTTTTGCCAGAGTGATTTTTTGGGGGGGAAAGATCTAGTCTCTGCAGGTTGCCATATGCCTACAGAACAAAACACAACCTATTCCTTAGCATGACAGAGTAGTTCCTTTGGATACTCCCTCACCATATGCTCTACTCTTCAGCCTTAATGTAATACTTATCACTCTGTAGAAAGGCTGTGCCTTTTGACCACTCTGTGCCTTTGTACATTCAGGCTCACTATGATGCCACATTTGACTTGTCTGTCTGATGGAGACTTACTCAGCTTTCAAGATGCAGTCCAAATCTGACATCCACAGAAATCTTGTGTCAACTCTTCCAGGCAAGGATAGTTGCTCCTTACTGTGGATTCCCATGACAGTATATAATATTCTTAACATGCATGTAACATACTGCATTATAATATTAAATCCTTTTTCTTTCTAGGTTGTCAGATGCTAAGACTTAATTATATTTGAATTCTCCAGTGTTAGCAAAGTAGCTGAAAACAGTAAGTGCTAAAAAATGTTTGGTGCATAGAGGAAACAAGGACCGAGAAAGCTCATCCATAGCAAAATGATCCCAAGGCCAAAAAGCTGGACAGAGTCCATGTGACCATGTATTGCGTTCCTGAAACTGCTACATTATTACTACTCTTTCCTCTGTGTTACATGTTCACATCCTTAGAAAACAAATATTCCCTCTGAATCATTTAAATGTGCCATTCCTTTAACCACAAACTGGCCCAACTGACAGGGTCACTGATTACATTTTGTACCAGTCCTCCTCCTTTCACTCTTTAAGCAGACCACACCCTCTTCTCAAGCCATCTGAAACAGCTAGGGTTCAGTGTGTGATCACAGATACACCAAAGCCAGCTGGCCCACACAGACCCCATCAGAAATAGTAGAGAAGAGAATTAATTCATATACCCAGAGAATGGATTTCTGTTTTAGGTAAGAGGTAGAGGCTTTGGCTCCTTTCTAATTCAATAAGTCCTGGATCCTAGCACCTGAGAGGCCCTTGGGTCCCTTTAACAGCTGTGATATTTACCTTGAGTGCTGCTAACCTAAATGGGCACACCCTTCTTTCAAATATTTGACATCGATTAATTTAAAATGATAATGAAAGAAATCTCATATTTCTTAATGTCCCAGATAAAATGGAAACAGTTCTTTGCATTTCCCATTGGGAGTCCCTGCTTATGTTTTTTGTTTTTGCATGGTACTGGGATCAAACCCAGGGCCTCAAACATCTTGGCAAGTGCCCTACCACTGAGTTACATTCCCAGCCCCGATTTTGTTCTTAATGGCTACCACCAATAAAAAGTAAAATCAAATAGAGGACTTGAAAATTTCTTTCTATTTTCTGCAAATGCACATATTTTAAACATTTTAAGAGGTCCTTTAATCATATAGTAAAAAAATTGCCAGCAATGACCAAATGCTAATTTTTCATTGACCTAATCTCACCATTTTTTTCAGGGCCTGAGGTATGCTCAAAGCACCAGGCCACAAGATACTTGTACATCTCTGACTCCAGGATCTGTCACAGTGACTGAAACACTTAATGACAAGGATCAACACATGCAGTTCTCTTTGTTATAGAACCTGCTCATGCAGTGTGGTGTTGCACCATGGTGAGGCTCTGCATGAAGTCAGCGAACCGACTGATGAAGGATGACATGGAAGAGGTGAAACTACAAACTGCCCTTTGCAGCTGCTGCCATCTGTATTAAAAGCCCAGGGAAGTGCTGGGGAGTGATACTGGCCAAATTATATTGTTATACTGTGTGCATGTATGAATATGTAACAACAAATCCCATACGTACAACTACAATGCACCAATAAAAAATGTGGGGTCAAAAAAAGCCCATTATAAGGAAATATCCCAGAAGGAAAACAGAATTTTCCTGACATAAGTCAGGTCATCAGGTAAGCCAAATCTGTGACATTTTGGAAAACAAGTGACTCTTCTGCCTCTCAGAAGCCATGGGGTCTGAGCAGCCACCAGGCTCCCAGCCCACCCATTTCCTCTTCAAGCTAATGCAGAACATTTCAAATTAAGGTAAATTAGCTTAATGCTAAGTGTTTTTTATGAAAGATACATAAAATTTAGGAAGAGAGGAAAAAAGAGCAAAGATGACAAAAATATTTGTTACATAGTATCCTAAAACTTACATGTATCATATTAACCTGTGAAACTTTCTTGAATATATAAATAAACAAAATAATAATACTTTCAAGTAAAAATAATACAAAAATATGATATTAAATGCATTGTATTACAGGATAAATAACTTTAGAAATCTTAACTTTATGATTATAAAATATATGAAAGCTGTTCCATGATTTTCATATTAAGCTAACTCTACCGTGGCACAGTGGCACACACTTGTAATCCCAGCATCTTGGGAGGCTGAGGCAGGAGAATTGCAAGTTCAAGGCCAGCCTGGGCAATTCACCAAGGTCCTTCACAATTTAGTGAGACCCTGTCTCAAAATAAATAAAAAAGGTTGAAGTTTAGTTTAATGGCAAGGTATCCCTGGGTTCAATCCCCAATACAAAAACAAACAAACAAACAAATCCACAACCATAAAGCAAAAACCAAACTCCACCTGTCATTTTTTATTTCACAAACAGGGAAATTCTAGTGCTACTCCACTTAATTCTGGTTTATTTTCTTAATTAATTAACTAATTATTATTATTTTAAATTGAGGATTGAATCTAGGAGCACTCTACCACTGAGCTACATTCCCAGCCTTTTTTCTTTTTTGAGACAGGATCTCACTAAGGTGCTGAGGCTGTCTGTGAATTTATAATCCTCCTGGTCCTTGGGAGTCACTGGGATTACAGGTGTGTGCCACCATGCCCATTGATTCTGGGTTGTTTTTTTTTTTTAAAATGAGAAACATGAATGTATACTGGCAATTTTTCCTTAATTGACTCCTTCTCCTAAAGAGACATGTGGGTTGGGAGATTCAGAGAAACTGTCTTTGTCCCTATATTATGGATAAATGTCTTGCCACACTTTAGACAAGACCAAGGAAGGAGAGTGGAGTCCCAACTGCCACTGTGGCAGGAGTTTGGAATCTCTGAAGGGGTAGCCCAGGTCTGCGGTTCCCAAATTTAACTGGGGAAACAGAGGGGATTTTGATCTGAGATGGATCTGACTCCCAGGGGAATGTCAGCATCCTTAGTAGCTTAGCAAGAACCTGCTTCAAAAATAAAAAAATTAAAAAGGCTGGAGATGTAGCTCAGTGATAGAGTAAGAGATTATGAGAAGAAAAAAATAAAGGCAAGAATTAAAAGCTGATATATAGTAAATGTTCTAAACTATGCAAGTGATTAACAAGCCAGATGTTCCCCTGTAACTCCTAAAACAAGTATTGTGCCAAATTCCAACCCAAGATCTCCTGGGTTCTGAGAGGAATGTGTAATAACAGCAGCAGCCAAGACTTACACACTATCAGCCTGGTTTTGTCCTGTGGGTTTGAACTACTAAGAACACATGCATTTCCCAAGGTTTAGGAAATAAAGAAGGCAAAAGAAAAAACATCTTTGGGGTTTGCTTCAGTTGTTGATTAGACTTTGTGGAATACAAATACAAGATGATAAAGCAGAAAGAAGTAATGCTTCTTAACAATGAGCCAAGCTGGCGTAATGAACAAAATACACGTTAACTTCCTTGCCATCTAATTTCCCATTTACCTACAAATCTGAGGCTTTTAATCTGCCTGGGTCCCTTGGCAAGAGGGTCAGAAGTCATTGTCACTCTCATCCAGGGGCTCAGGTTTCCGAACCCTTCGATTGGGCTTTGCTGGTGAGAGAGCAATGCTCTCATCTTCCAAATCATCGTCATCTTCTTCATCATCTTCCATGTCAATTTCACTGTCCTCCGAGTCTTCCTATAGGAAAAAGGCAACAAATGCAACTGGGGAGCCCACCTTGTCCTGAGAGACCCTGCCTCACTGTTCACTGTAGCACCAGGATTAACAGCACAGTAACCAGCAACAGCTGACACAGCGGAGGAGCAGGGCAGTGCTGCAGTCAGGCATCGGGGCCTCAGCAGACACTGCCGGCTGGGAGACACCACGAGGTTCCTCATCCTACCAGCAACCTGAACACAATATGCAGCTGAGCTTGGTGCTGCAGGGGTTGGCTCACCTCTGGTCACAAAGCACCCCTGTCTGCACACTAAGAGTCCTGGACACTGCTTGGCTCCTGGGGCACCAAAGATCCAATGGATAGCAAGGAGGAAGGGAAGGAAGGCTTGTTTTGGTTCCTTCCAGCTAGTGATGGAAAGCAACACAGAAAATGGGTGCAAAGAGCAAAGTGAAAGGCACACCTGCACCTCCATCATCTGGACCCAGGGAGACCAACTCAGGCCAACTTTAAAAGCAGATACACACACACACAATAATTTTCTTCTTAAAGAAAAACAAAAAGACAGAAACCTTACACTACCATCCTCTCATGTTACTCCACCCTCCTCTTGGCTGAACTCTTTAGGAGAGTTGCTGAGCTCACTATCCCACTCATTCCTCTCTCATGGACAGGCTAATGAGGCTCTCAGAAACCCTACCCTGCTCTCATCAATGGATTCCAACTCAACGGATTCACAGTGCTCACCTTGCTTGACTTATGGGCTCCATCTGACAGAGGATCACCACTCCTTCCTTGAAACCCACTCCTCTGGCCTCTTCCCCCAGCTCTAGTGCCATTTACTCTATCTCCCTTGCCTTACCCTCTTTGCTTCCTTTCTTTTCTTCCTGCTCCCCTGCTAAGCAAATTTATCTGCTATCCTGGCTTCAATACCATCTACATATGGGTGGCTCCCCAACTCCATCTCCAGCTAGACCTATTCCTGAACAGACCTGAATTTCAACTGGCTATTCCACACTGACACATGGGTGTCTAATAGGCAGCTTACCCTTAGAACATCCACAACCAAACTCTTGATCTGCCCTCCAAGCTCCTCCTCAACAGCCCTATCTCAGGAAAACAAAAAACAAAAAACCCTGCACTTAGTTGACTCAACCACAACCGAGGCGGCTTCCTCTCTCTTCAGCACCTATGTCCAACCCACTAACAAAACACGATGGCTCCCCCTCAGAAACATCTAGAACCTGACCTCCTTTAAGTACCTCCACTGCCACTCCCTGAGGCTGAGCCACTGTCACCTCTGACCTGCAAAACCATGCTCACCTCCTCACCGGTTTTTCTCATGGATGAGCTAACTCCTGGCTCTCTGGGGCTGTAGTGTTTGCTGGTCCCACTCAGGGAAAAGACTGGGTTCTCATGGCATCTGTGAAGCTCATGACCCCTGCTACCTCTTTCAGCTCCTAGCTAGTTCCCTCCATCCATCACATTCCACGGCCATGCTCCCTAGGCCCACATGCCACTCCCATGCAGTTCATCGCCTCCTTTCATTAAGGCCTCTGCTCCAATGTCACTGCATCAGAGGCCTTCCCTGACCATGGGGGAACATCCTCCCACCTTGTCTCCGTCACTCCATCTCCGGAACTTGCTTTGATCTCCCTGTGCATCCTGCCTGGCACACCTGAACAAAAGCTTTCTCCCATGAATGTTTTAACAGTGCATACTGCAGGTACTTAACAAATGAATTTTAATTATTTTTTTTTATATTTATTTTTTAGTTGTATACAATACCTTTATTTTGTTTATTTACCTATGACTGTGGTATATCTGTTTGACTTCTATCACTGGAACGTACGCCCTAAGGCATGTATCCCCTGCTGTATCCCCCAGAGCCCACAACAGTACCTGGCACATGACAGGCACCTAAAATATGGCTGTTGAGTGGCTGAGCATTGACTTGAAGGACCAAGCCCATGCTTGGGGGCTGTATGACAAGTGACAAGGCAGGGAAAGACCTGAGCTATAACTGAAATTTCATTCTGAAAAGGACACAAGCAAATCTAACAGAGACCAGGATCCCCTGCCTTCTTGGCACTACTGGCTCCCAAGTCAGACTCAGTTTCAGACTCAGGTATGTAGGACTGATGGATGGAAGCTACCTCACCCTCTATGCCCTACCTGTTAAAAGTTATTTTTGAGGTACTTTCCCTGTTTCTTTACAGACTGCTTCCTAGGAAATCAAGACCTAATCCTCCATGTGCATCCTGCCTGGCACACCTGAGCAATGGCTTTCCTCCCATGAATGTTTTAACAGTGCACACTGCAGGTACTTAACAAATGAATCTTTTTTAAAATTATTTTTTTATATTTATTTTTTAATTGTACACAATACCTTTATTTTGTTTATTTATTTTTATGTGGTGCTGAGGATCAAACCCAGGGCCTCGCAAGTACTAGGCGAGTGCTCTACCGCTGAGCCACAACCCCAGCCCAACAAATGAATCTTTGTACAGAAGCATAAGCCTCTGCTTCTGTCTCTGAATGGCCATCAGTGCTGTGCCCAGATACAGGTGGATTTCGCAACAGAGCTGGTCTGGGGTCCAAGTCAGTTCTGACACCTTTGCCATGTGGGCCAAGCAGCATTACTAGGGGCTCTCACAGGGTGAAGGCCCAGGGTGATGGTAGGGCATCCATAATGACTTGATATCTCTAGGACCCTCCTCTGCTTTCCCCTTCTAGTTAATTTCCCCAGTCAGTTATCAACCCAGTAAAGCCTAAGGTGATGTCTTAGCTCTTGCCCGGCCTGAGCCCTGGTCTAAAGAGAGCATTTTTACAATGTTCCTTACCCAGAAGGGAGCTGAAGACAGGGCTGGTCTTGGCTACAGCACTGTCCCTTGATTTCAGGGGCCTGCTGACTCCTAGCTACAACCTTTCCCATGTCTGGCCTTGGCACTTTCCCTTCCTACTGAGCCCAGGGAACTTAAGGCCTCTCTGCCTCTCACTGTGGGGTCTGTTCTGAGTGGCTTCTTGGCCAGCAGAGAGGAAGCATTGTCCCTAGGAGAGGCTCTGCTGGCTGAATGGGCTGACATACACCAACAAACAGACGAGGCAAAAAAGAAAACCAACCTGCTTCCTGGAGCTGGGAGTCTTGCATTTACCTAAGAGAGCTGGTGCTGCTTCCATCTTTGGAAAGCGAGAATGGAAAGAACAGTAAGAAGGCGAAAAAAATAGGGCAAGCAAACTGTGTGAAATGAGAAATGAGCTATCAACAAGCAAAGAGGAACTTAGCCCCTTAGTAGGCCAAACTCTGCCCCCAATCAGCAATACACTGACTGGGAACAGACAGCCCCCTGGCTGCCAGCAGCTTCCTGAGCTAAACTAGTCTCTGAGGACAGCCCAAGACCAGAAAGTACAGAACTGCTTGGGGGGCAGGATGCAGGGAGTTGGTTGGGACTCACATCGTCATCAGAGTCTCCACCTTGCATTGTGCCCACGACGCGTTTGCCGGGTCTTCCTGGAACAACAAAGGCATGCAGGAAACATGAAACTTTGGCAAGTAAGGCAGGAAATGGCATCCAGAATTTGTTCTCCCTTAGAAAACTGAGAAAAAGAAGCACACTAAAAACTCATTTAATCAGCGTCCAACTGACCAGAACTGTCAGTAAACTAATGGATACCCCATACTTCTACTTTGAAGGAAACAAGAAAGGCAATAAAATATAAACATGAGTAATCCCAGTGAGTTGAAAGGCTGAGGCAGGAGGATTGCAATTTCAAAGCCAGTCTCAGCAACTTAGTGAGACCCTGTCTCAAATTAAAAAATTAAAAAAACAGGGGCTGGTGCTGTAGCTCAGTGGTAGAGCTCTTGCCTAGCATGTGTGATCCACTGGGTTTGATCCTCAGCACTGCATAAAATATATATAAATAAAATAAAGGTATTTTGTCCATCTACAACTAAAAAAAAATTTAAAAAAATAAAAAAAAAATAAAAAGCTAGTGATGGGATGTAACTAGTGGTAAAGTGCTACGGGTTCAATCCCTAGTAACAACAAAAAAATATATATAACCAGGCACACAAGAGTGTGTGTGTGTGTGTGTGTGTATATATACATATAAATAAAAATGTGTGTGTGTGTGTCTGTATACATATATATATGTATACAGTGTGTGTGTATGTGTCTGTATATAAAAAACAAAACAGGAAGGCCGGGGGTGTAGTTCATCAATAGAGCACTTGCCTAGCATGTTCAAGGCCTTGGCTTCAATCCCAGCAGCACAAAACACAAAATAACCATTAATCATGAATTAAAATAAAATTTTAAAAAAGCACCCTGAGTGTTTTAGGAAAATTACTGAATTCCATTATTAGTTTACATGCAGTGGAACTGGCATGCTAGCTGTTGAAATATATCTTCCTTTAAGGACCAATGCCACTCTATTTGGATCTAGGTCTGAGCTTTGAAATGAAAAAGTTAAAAAAAAAAGTTAAGCACTACAATTAGTAATTCATCTTTCAAACATCATTATTATCTCAGAGATTCTCTTCAGAAGTCAACAGTGTTTAGATGTGACACCTGCAAAAACTCAGGGACTGTCCTTTACCAGGAGGTGGGGCAAGGGAAAGGAGCAAGCATGACCCCTAGCCAGGTCCACGTGAAAGGCAGCTTGGGCAGTGCATTGGGAGCATACTTGGGACAGGCTAAGATGACTGAGCACTATTTACAGACAAAATGCAAAATCTTTCTCAAAGCCCTTTTTTAGCTTCTAGAACTGAACTCTGTGATTTTACTCTGCAGGTAAAGTGGTCAACAGAATTTAGGAGAACCAATGCTTTACACATGCCTTTTTACAGCCCTGGCTCCTATCCATCAAGTGAGAGTCATAATCTCTAATCTCTACTTATGCCAAAATGCTTTTTTTTTTTTTTAAATTATCTTATGAAATAATATAATATATAATGAAATAATAAATGAAAGAGATAGGCTAAGAATAAGAGAAAGCAGCTGACAACCAAAGTTAATTGTAAAATGATGAAAGGACAATGATTCACCCTTAAATTTACTAGGTATAAAAATGCAACTGTACTCCAAACATTAAGTGGTGGTAGATAAGAAATGTATTTAAAGGCAAATACAGGTCAATTTAGTAACATCTATCAAAATTAGTTTATAGATGGGGCTGTGGTTGTGGCTTAGTGGTAGAGCACTTGCCTAGCATGAGTGAGGCACTGGGTTCCATCCTCAGCACTACATAAAAACAGATAAAGGTTTGTGACCACCTAAAATAAATAAATAAATAAATAAATTATATATATATATATATATATATATATATATATATATATATAGTTTATAGAACCTTTGGCCTAAGAATTCCATTTTTTCATGATGCAGCCTGAAGAAATACTTGCAGAAAAAAGTATACATAAGAAAGAGTAGAAATAAGTGTCAAGTAAGTGACAGGGTATGCCCAAATTAATTAGGAGTGTAGTCATACTACAGAATATGATGCAGTCATTAAAAAAAATGAAGACATCGGGAGAGTCGGGAGAGTCACAATGTATTTAATCTTAAAAACAAAGGCAACTTGCAGAATCATACATAAGGTCTGGTCCCATTTAGGACAAAGAATTTTTGAGGTGATCTCTGCACCCACATTTGATTCTATGTGTGTATATGTACGTACAAGCTTGTATGTGTATGTGTAGGCACAGAAAGGCAATTTGTAAAGACACGAACCCCAGCCACTAGCTGTGACCCCTCTATGGTGGGAATGGGACATGAGGAAGACCCCAGGGGAGCATCCCATCTGCATCAAAAATCCTGTTGCTTGGATCTTTGCAATTAGAAGGCAGAAAACAGAAGAACATTTTTAAAGGCTGAGGTGGTCATGTGATCCCTTCTCATTGCATTAACTTACTAACTATAATGGGTGCAATTGCACTAAGAGCAATTTAGGACTGAACATGGGAAGAATTGAGCTCAATGGCAGAGGCAGTGTGTTTCCCATGGCCTCTGTGAGAAATGCCAGGCTATAAATAGGAATCATCTGCTCTCAGGACTGCAGGTAAAAGTGTTAGAAGCAACCATGACCACTGAGCAGTTTAAGAGCCAGATTCTGACAGACAACAGAGAAGAACAAATCTGGGGCAGAAACTGCTTCCAGGGACCATTCATGGTCCACTGTGTACCTTAATATTAAGCAGCCCTGATCCAATCCTGGCCATTGTGTTCTGTGAAACAGACCCAGGAAGTGGCACACGTGAAAGAAGCCATGCTACCTTGCATGAGCACCTCCATGGCCGTCCGTGGCTTGGACAGCCGCCGTTCCTCCAACTCACTGTCGGATTCATCATCCTCCTGGATGTCTATGTCTGAGTCATCATTACCTGGTGGGACACAAGCAAGCAGAATAAAAGAGCAACTCCATCATTACAACTGAACAGCTTTTGTCTAGTAAGGGTCATGCACAAAAATTTTCTGCCCTTCCTATCCTTTCTCTGGATGCATTAGATTTTATGAGACTCCCTGGATCCACTTGTGTAAACTTAGTGCAGAGTCAATGCAGACAATAATGTGCCGCATTTGTTTTAAGCAATTTCCATGGCAAGAAAAAAGTGGGTCACATGTATTAGTTAGAAACACTAACAGTCTGAAATTTTAAAAAATGAGTAGCCACGTAACAAGGAAGGTGAAATTCTTGGTTCACTGAGAGGAAAAAATGCTCTCTGTTCAGTGTTAGGCCATTACCCCAACTCCAGCTCCCTGATCATACGAAGATGAGGAGAAGTAAGAAGAGGAGCCCACTGAAAAGACAGCTAAACAAGACCAGAGGAAGGAGGAGTCAGGCCAGGAGTGGCAGAGTGGGCTGTCTTGAGAAAGCTGGTGACGTGATGACTGGCAATGTGAGCTGGTGTGCATGATGCTGTTATGGGCCAGGCTATATGGGCAATGACCAAACAGACTCCATTTTACACTGAGACTCCATGTCGTATAAAATACTTCTCCCATGGGAACACTCTGCCTCTGTACCTATCAATAGTTGCTTAGCACAGCATGTTTGATAACACAAAATGCCAATTCTTACACAATGTAAAACTGTTCTTTGACTCCCATTTTTCTTGGGAATGTACCCTGTCAAGAGATTGACTGTCTAGATGTTAGTAACCATTCTCTAACTTGTACTCAGCTAGGGTCATCTGAACCCACTTCTCTTCTGCTTGCTTGCTTCTATGCCAGCCTGGACATCTGTGGGAAATTCCAATGTACCCATTGCATTATTTCACTAACTGCTCAATTCAGCTTCTATACCCCTGCTTGCTTGTAGCTACATCAACCCGGATGTGGTTTTTGCAGTTTTTGCCTATAAAGACCCTGAAATGCTCAGGCTTGAGGCTGTTCCTTACAGAGACACTTATGGGTTTTGTGGGGAGTAGTCACCAGCTGGCTGGCTATTAAATAAAGACTCTCCAATTCAGACAAAATGGACTTGGTACGTTTTCTGAGAGGTCTGCCCCATAACAATGATCTTTTCTTCACTGAAGAAACTCCTTTATAAAAACACATCTTGGCTGGAGAGAGGAGCAGCTCAGGGGCAGTGCTTAGCAATCCCTGGGCCTGGGTTCCATTTCCAGTGACAAAAAAAAGATGTATTTTTAAAAGGTCATTTTCAGTGAAATAGCTCTACATATTAATTCTTTTTTTTTCCTTTTTTAGTTGTAAATGCACACAATATCTTTATTTATTTTTATGTGGTGCTGATGATCCAACCCAGTGCCTCACACATGCAAGGCAGGTGCTCTACCTTTGAGTCAAGGCTGAAAATGCCCGTCTTTATATTAATTCTTAAATACTTCTCTGGATTCTTGAAGGCTGAACACTACCTAAATGGAAACTACAGAAGGAAAGTCTCCATGGTGGGAATAAAAAGCTCTCCCCCAGTACCTGACTTCTCTATATCTAGGGAATGATGTGGATTTTGATGGAGTTTGTAGTTGCCTTTCTTCTTTTTACCTTAGCAGTGCTAGGGATGAAACCTAGGGTGCTGCCTCCACTGACCTACATCCTCAACTCTTTATATTTTGGGACAGGGTCTAAGTTGTGTAGGTTGGCCTTGAATGTGCCATCTTCCTGCCTCAGCCTCCCAAATTGCTGAAAATATTTTTGTACCTACTATCAACAATGAGATTATATACATTAAAAAGTTTACAGCCTGGTGTGGTGGTACATGCTTGTAACCCCATATCATCTGAAGGCTGAGGCAGGAGAATCCCAAATACAAGGCCAACCTCAGCAACTTAGGCCCTAAGCAACTTAGATACTGTCTCATAATAAAAAAATAAAAAGGGCTGAGGATGTGGTTCAGTGGTTAAGCACCCTGGTACCCCTCCCCGCCCCCCAAAAAAAAAAGTTTACAGGGTAGATCTCATATTAATTGTTCTTACCATATTTTTTTTAAAAAAGTGCTAAAAGAAAATATTTACAAAATAAAACTAATGTTAGAGAAAGTAAATGCAAATGTGTCAAGGCTGAAAATGCTAGTGCAGAACAAGCAGCTCTGTCCCAGCTCGGCCTTACTTCCACTCTTGAGCAGCCGCTTTTCCTCCTCCTTTAGCTTGTTCTGCATCAGGCGGAGAGTATTTTCAGCTTCCTGAGGGAAAGGAAAAACCATACTTAGAAGCCATGACCCTCTGGTAGACAGTCCTCTTCTCCTTTACCATGGAGTGAGCTCTGCTAGGTCTGTGATAAAGAACTGGGAAAGATCTAAACTTTCCTGAGCAACCCTTATAGTCCCCAAATCAGGGGCCCTTCCTCTCTGTGATCACCCAGCAACCCTATGGAAAGGGCCTGAGAGGTGTAGTGGGCCCCACGCCCTCTCACTCCTCCTGCTATATAGAGCAATACAACTGCTGCCATCACAGGTGCCATGTAGGCTGGCAGCTAGGACTGACAGGCATACGCCTCTTGCTCACAAAAGGTGGCACCAACGTTATTGTCTTTCTGCCTTGTGCCACCTCCACCACTCGTTTTGAGAGATGCCAATGGACAGGTCAGGACCTGAAAAGACAGGAGGTAACAGCAATCTCAGTTCCTGGCCCTGATTAAGCCAGGCCTGGTGGCATACACCCATAATCCCGGCTCTTGGGAGGCTCAGGTGGAAGGCCAGCCTGGGTAACAAAGCAAGACCCCATCTCAAAAAAAAAAAACAAAAACAAAAACTGTGGCCTTGATTTGGAAATTAGTTTTCAAATTATTGTTGTTGATGTTCTAAACATTAAAAATAAAGCACAGCAGTGGGGGCTGGGGTTGCGGCTCAACAGTAGAGCACTCACCTAGTACGTGTGAGGCCCTGGGTTCGATCCTCAGCATCACATAAAAATAGATAAATAAAAGTATTGTGTCCAACTACAATTGAAAAATAAGTATTTTAAAAAAATAAAGCACAGCATTCAGGTATGAGATATATTGAGGGAACAGGTGCCATAAGAACCCACAGCAGGAGTGAATGCAGAATGGGACGAGAGGACTTGCTGGAACAAGGGGTAAGGGCATCCTCAGAAGCAATGTGGGCCAGGGGCTCTCCTTCTGAGGCATATTCTTCAGTATCTTCTCTGAACCCAGATAAACAAAATGACCATTAAAATTTTTCAATTTAATTTTACTTTTTTGTGGTACTGAGTCAAAATTTATTTTCACAGGGTTTTTATTGTGGTTTCCCAGATAGCCAATGTTTATAACGTCCTGAACTCCAGAATGTACCCATTTTATGCTGTTCCTGAATGGCTGCCCCTCTGCCACATAGCAGTGGTGGCAATGAGTTAGCTGAATCTAAAAAAAATGTATTACACACTCCCAATCAGCAATCTCAGACAACAAAACTGCCTTACCTAACTGATGTGCACAGGCTTGTAAGATGGTCAGCATTCCCTTAGTACCAAAAGTCATCAGGGAGACTGTAGAAAGGGAGACTATAGACCAACTTCACCTTGAACATCAGTTCTAACTGACTATTCTCAGCTTAAACAGAATATTTCTAAGAGTGAAGTCCAATGAAAACATGACTGTAGCCTGGCACAGTGGCACACACCTGTGTTCCCAACTACTCAAGAGACTGAGGCAGGAGGATAGCAAATTCCAGCCTGGGCAACTTAGTGAGACCTCGTCTCAAGATAAATTTTAAAAAAGGGCTGGGGTGTGGTGATGTATGCCTGTAATCCCAGTGGCTTGGGAGGCTGAGACAGGAGGATCATGAGTTCAAAGTCAGCCTCAGCAATTTAGTGAGGCCCTAAGCAACTCAGCAAGACCCTGTCTCAAAATAAAATATATTAAAGAAAAAGAAAAAGTGATCACTGTGTACTCTATTTTCCTTTGCTTTGAAGCTCTGAATTTCACATTGATCAACTTGTGCTGATATCTAAAATACTCTTTCCTACATAAGACAGTTGTTCAGTTCTGGGTCACAATCAACCAATATAAAGCAGCACCCAATGAGCTAGTTTGGGTTGTTCAATTAATAAGGGCTTGAAAATCTTCAAGTGCACTGAGAATGTTTAGATCTAAAGACCACTTGCATAATTTGTGGGGATCAGTGCAAAATAAAATGCACTTGAAAATTATGATGTATTTCAAGATGGTGATAGCAGAGCAAGTGCAGGCCCTTTTTAAACACAGGGCTACATGACTGCACAGGTCCATGTTGCTCCAGTTTGTACTCCTGACCAAACACTGATAACACAACATCAAAAGAATCACATGAGCAACACTAAGATTAACACTTTTTTTCACAATGATATCTACAAACTGACATATCACCAAGCTCAAAACAACATGCCAGGAGGAGCAGTCTGCAGAGAACAGGCCAAAGACTCACTTCAAACCTCTCCTGCTCCATCCTGTGATGATCCTCAAGCTGCTGTTCCAGGTAAGCCAAATTTCGAAATTTTTCTAGGTAAACATCATAGTGCTTTTGCAATTCTTCCTCAATCTTCTCATACTCATCCATAAAGGCTGGTCTAAAATGAGCACATGAAGTTAAAAATGAAAGGTTAATTAATATACAGTGACTTGAAATTTTTATTCATATCCAGACTCCACCATGGCTTTCTTTGGAAACCTTTAATTACAGAAGGTTCTTTACTCTTGATAAGTGCTCAAGACTCATGTCCTTTTTCTCCTCCCTACCCCCTTAATAAGCCTTCCTTTCCCTTCTTTTCTTCCTTCCCTGTTTTCTTTTCTGCGACTGAACTCAGAGACCACTGAGGTACATCCCAAGCCCTTTTTAATTTTATTTTGAGACAGGGCCTTGCTAAGTTGCTGAGGTAGCCTGGAGCTTGTAATTCTGCCTCAGCCTCCTGAGTAGCCAGGATTCGGGTATGTACTACAGGTGGAACATGCCTGCTACAAACTTCTTTTTAAATTACAAATAAGATGTTTATTAAAAAAAAAAATTTGAAATAATCCTGAGTGTACAAAGAACAAAGGAAAAATTATTCATAATCTCATCACCAAGTATGTGTGACAGACATTTATTTTTTAGTTGTAGTTGGACAAAATACCTGTATTTATTTATTTTTATGTGGTGCTGAGAATCAAACCCAGGGCAATCACTCTACCACTGAGCCACAACTCCAGCCTGGAATGTATTTTTTTAACAAAAATTAAATGTTGCCATAAATGAAGCTTTGTAGTTTATTTTAATATATTGCTGACTTCAGTAAAGAGCTAAAAATAATTATATGCCTTATACAACTCTTAAAAATCATTAAGTTAAATATATTTTACAATTTTTTTTCCTCTGTGTGTGTGTGTGTGTGCGCGTGTGGTGATGGGGATTGAACAACCCAGGGCCTTGGGCATGTGAGGTAAGCACTCTACCAACTGAGCTATATTCCCAGCCCAATAAATTAAATAAATGCATTGTTATCTTGGCTAAATATAATGTTCCACTGTTGGGATGTACCAATGTTTAACGGGCTGCTGCAAATGAATGCAGTTTTTAAACAACATAAGACTTACAGATAAACCATTACATAAAAACTTGTTTCAACAGGGTGTAGTGGCACATGCCTACAACCCCAGTAGCTCCAGAGCTTAGGCAAGAGGCTCTCAAGTTCAAGATCAGCCTTAGTAACTTAGTAAGACTTTGAATTAAATAACAAGTAAAAAGAAGCCAGATGCAGTGACACATGCCTGTAATCCCAGCAGCTCAGGAGGCTGAGACAGGAGGATTGTAAGTTCAAAGCCAGCCACAGAAACATTGAGGTGCTGAGCAACTCAGTGAGACCTGTCTCTAAATAAAACACAAAACAGGGATGGGGGTTGAGTGCCCCTGAGTTCAATCTCCCTGCCCCTGCCAAAAAAAAAAGTAAAAAGGACCGGGGGTGTACTCAGTGGTAAAGAACCTAAGTTCCATCACCAGTACTGGAAAAAACAAAAACAAAAAACAAATCTGTTCAGAACTAAGGCCCTAGGTTTGATTCCCCAATGCTGCAAACAAAAACAAACTAACTCTGTTTCAACTAGTTGGTTAAACTTTTTCTCTTATTCTTGATCTTAAGGGAAAATTTTGTTCTTTCAAAAATACAAACATAGAGCTGGGCATGATAGTGTGCACCTGTAGTCCCAGCTCCTCAGGAAGCTAAGGCAGGAGGATTGCTTGCAGCCAGGACCTCAAAGGCAGCTTGGGCAAAACAGCAAGACCCCATATCTTAAAAAATAATAAATAAGTAAATACATACATATCCACACACATCACTGGGAATAGATATAACTTAGCGTTAGAGTACTTGCCTAGGAAGCATGAGGCCCTGGATTTAATTCCTAGTACCAAAAATAATAGTAATACATACACACACACACACACAAAATACATGATATATATACCCACAAACTAAAAGTAACTTATAATCTCTTAAAATAGAACAAATAAACTTGTCTACTAAAGGATATGGGCTTCAGCAGAATGACTTTATGCCTTAAGACAGAATTTGTTAATAAGACCAATTGAGGGCTGGGGCTATAGCTCAGTGGTAGAGCGCCTGCCTTGCACATGTGAGGCACTGGGTTCGATTCTCAGCGCCACATAAAAATGAATAAATAAAATATATATTAAAAAAAAAAAAAAAGACCAACGGAGCTGGTGGTGCTATTTCAGGAGTGGAAGGAGAGTTGCTCCCCATGCAGTGGAGAGCAATGGCAAGGAGTGAAGGTCGGAAACAAGTGAAAAAGGTGGGCAGCAGCTCCATGAAAACAGAAGCGCACTGACACAGCAGCTGTCCTGTACTTTCCTACCCTGCTCCCCAGAATCGTACTCCAGTGAGATCCAATCAGAAGGAAGCCGAGTTGCTAAAACGTGAGGAATCGTCCAAGTCTAAAAAGTCTACAATCTACTCATACCAAGAGGTGGGAGTATGTTCTGTTTCTACCTAATTTAGGCAAGGTCTGAGGAGATGAAGCCTAGCGTAACTCCCACCATCTGGATTTACCTGCTCTACCTCACAATCCAAGCCATAAACAATTAAAAGGGTGGCTGAAGAACTCAGCTGTCTCCTAGACCCTGAGACTTGGGTGCAGCATGCCACCCCAAGCGCGACACCTCACAGGGGGTTCTGCTTGCTACTGGAAAAGTCAAAGCCAGTGAACTCTGAGCCTTTGTTATAGTTTTACAAGACACCCTTCTACTTACTCAGGTGTTCACACCTACCTGACGCTCTGTAGAGTCTGCAGTCGCTTCCGATTTCTTTCCAGTTCTAATTTTCTCTTTTCAATTTTGGCTTCTAAATTAGCTTCATCGGAGGCCACATTATTGAGCAGGTCTTTAGTCTTCTGAACCTGCGCCTACATTTAACGGAAATAATGAGACCATGCGGACTCTTTGAAGATGGCAACTTCTCAGTTCTTCAGACCCAGCAAATCACACTGAACAAACAAAAGCACAGACAACCCAGGCACTCCCGCAAGCAATGCTGCACCTCACCACCTAGTTCCAGGAAGAATCATGCACAGATCCAGAAAAAAATTTTTATTTCAGCAGTACTGGGGATTGAACTAGGGGTGCTCAACCACTGAGCTGCATTTCCAGTCCCCCTCCCCCATTTTTTAATTATTCATTTTGAGACAGGGTTCCCGCTTAAGCTGCTCAGGCTGACCTCAAACTTGTGATCCTCTTGCCCCAGGCTCCCAACAGCTGGGATTATAGGTGTGTGCCACTGTGCACGGTAAAAAATATTATTTTCATGAAAAGCAGGCATTTCTGCCCAGGGAAATAAATGAAGATGACGAGAAATGTCTTAATGGTGTACCTGTCCAGCTTGCCTGGCTAGAACTGAGTGCCTATGCTTGCACTGTGGGCTTGCCTTCCAACACTAGGCTGCTCCCCTGGTGACAAGTATCTACTTACAGAACATGCACACAAAAGTATGGCTCTACTCTGGAGGGACAAAAAGAAATATGAGCTGGCCCAAATCCTAACCAACTGCCTGCTGGGATAGAAAAAAGGTCTCTTTTCCTCTTGATGTAACAGAAGCTTGACGATAGACTAAAAATAAGAGAAAAACCACTATGTTGGTGAAGTCAGCATCAAAGCAGCGTGACCTCATGGAAGGTCAAGTGGTGTGCTGGTGTGCTCCACCCTTTGGAAGGGACCTGTGTAGAATGGGACAGAGGCCCTGGGCAATGGGCCTAAGGAGAGGAGGGAAGGGGCAGAGACCGCTGTTGACAGCCAAAGACCTTCTTATGCTCTGGCTTGAAGCAAGTTCTGTGGGAGCAACTGCCCAGTGATGTCTGTGTCACCTGGGAAGCTGGGCAGCAAGTGCCCCATGGCTCAGAGTACCAGTGAGCCATACCAGGAATCTAGACGCAACTGGACTGTGTGTGGACGCCCTCCTTACTGCTGTGACTGTACAACCCTACATCAGGTTTCTGAAGGTGAGGTAGGTTTCCCTTCAGTAAGTCTCCATGTGACAGTGTCTCACAAAGGTTTCCTGACAGTTTACCTACAGGCCTCTGAAAAGCTATGGAGTTCACCTGAGAAGCCCAGATATTCTTCATGATTCTCAGAGATTTAAGTGCGTTTTTGGAAGCAACCACAGTTACTGTCAATGAATTTATGGTTTAACTTTCATTAACCACTTGGTCTAACTTCATTAACCACTTCTAAGATGCTTTCTTCAAAAAAAAAAAAAAAATCACTAAGGATTCATGAACTGCAAATACTTTAAAAACCCAAGTAGAAATGTGAGTCTGCTCCAGTCAGAGGAAAGGTAGGTCCCTCCTGAACAACTCAGCCAGTATCAACTGCTCTCTGAATCAGTTAGACTAAAGCCTAGTGAATTTATCTGACCTCAGAACTGAAAATTATTAAAGGTATCTGGTTCCTCAAATATGAAAGACAGACATCTGTAAACACAAACAATTTTTCTGTTTTCTGAAATAACTGGTCTTTACTTCATATCCCCTTTTAAGTATCCACAATGTTGTTTTGGTTTTATTTTTAGAATTATAAAACATAACAGGTATTTTCCAACAATGAAAGGAGATCATAAGACATGATCCAGGGGCTGGGGCTGTAGCTCAGTGGTAGATTGCTCGCCTAGCATGCATGAGGCACTGGGTTCGATCCTCAGCACCACATAAAAATAAAAAAATAAAGATACTGTGTCCACCTAAAATAAATAAATAAATAAATATATATTTTTAAAAAGACACGATCAGGGTTAGGGTTGTGGCTCAAGCGGTAGCGCGCTCGCCTGGCATGAGTGTGGCCCGGATTCGATCCTCAGCACCACATACAAACAAAGATGTTGTGTCCACCGAGAACTAAAAAAAATAAATATTAAAAATTCTCTCTTAAAAAAAAAAAAAAAAGACATGATCCAGCTAATTTTTTAACATATGAGAACTAAAGGCACATTCATGCCATATTCACTTGATTCAGTCAGAGTGTTGCCAAGCATGAGGATGAATTAGTATTTTTTTAAATTTAGAAAGTCACAAACTCACAGAAAAGCTGGAGTATAATAATAGTAGCATTTTTTTATACCCAGGGGAGAGTGGTGCTGCCCTGAAGTCCCAGTACTTCTATAGACAGGGACTTCCTCCTCTACAAGCATAATGCCATCAGCACATCATATGTAAGCAAAGGCCCATTTAGTCTCCCCTCTCATCCAGAGGCTCCCCCCCACCCATCCCCTGCAGGCAGCAGCCCCATGGCACACAGGTGTCACTTCTCTGGGGCCTCCTCAATCTGGAGGGTTCCTCAGCTCTGTCTTTGATTGCCTCATTTTTGAGGAGGACAGGCCAGCTCATTTATGAAATGCCCCCCGGTCTGTCTGATCAGATTTTGATCATGCATCCTGAGCAGGGATACTGCAGAAAGGGCTGCCTGCTGTCAGGCCCCACAGTTTTGATTTGTTTCACTGTGGTGATGTTTGCTTTGGTCATTTGATTGAGGGGTGATGCCAGGCTTCTAAGAAGGTACTCTTCTAATTAGTAAGTATTTTGTTAGGAGATACTTTGAACATTTATTTCTTAAATATAAGAACCCATGGTTTTCTATTTCATTCAATTGCACTGTAAAATCAATTACTATAATATATTTACTTAGATGCTTACACTAACTCTGGTTTGGCCAGCAAAAAGCCAATCAAGCTGGCCCTGTGGCCCTTTAACAGATCCCTGTACTTCTTCGAACACTTCCTTACTTTGACACAACAAGCTTGTACTTCTCTGGACCCAGCTCTGGAATTAATCACTTTCCCAGAGAGCCCTGTCTCCCTTCAGTGGATAATGGCACAAAGAAGCCAAGATGCAGATGCTGCTTGTACTCAGAGCTCAGAAATGTGTGAGTGTGGGTGTGCTCATGTGCATAATGACATATCTACATATATGCATACATTCCCCTACATGTATATCAACTTATTCCTATATTTATTAATACATATACCAAATATCATGCCTTTAAACAATACTTCCAATTTCGGGGTTCATTCTAAATTTCTCTTCTCACATTTATAACTCTCTTCTCCAATGGTGAGGAATTCTGCTCTGTTATTCTTTTTTTTTTTTTAAGTATTTTTTTAGTTGTCAATGGACTATTTTATTTATTGATATGTGGTGATGAGAATTGAACCTAGTGTCTCGCTTGCATGCTAGGCAAGCACTTTGCTACTGAGCCACAATCCAAGCCCTGCTCTGTTATTCTTAATATACTGACTGATCTGGTTGAAAACCAACCTCCCAACCCTACTGCCACACCTTCTCACTCAAGAAGGCTTAGACTCCCTTCTCTGGGCTGCACAGGGTGATTACTGTTTAATGATAAGAGTTATTAAAAAGAAAACCTGACTTTTAGAATTTTGTACAACTTACAACCAAGTCTGATTTTATGCCTATTCCTAATTTAAATATGGCTCCTTGCCTGTGTTTATTGAATAAAAGGAATCATTAACGATGGCTGAATACCTATTGTGCACCAAAGACGAAGCTTAATGTGTACTGCTGTAATTTATGTTCCATATAGTTGGTACAGTTGTGTTCCACATTCTACACATGAAAAAATTGTGGACATAAAAGTTAATTCACAGTTGGATGCAAACCCAAGCACTCTGAGCCCAGAGTTCCCCTGATCATGTGTCTTCCAACTGGATGCTCTAGATGATAGGAGCAAATAATAGTTGATGGTGGGTGAGCTGTAAAAGACAGTGATCATTCTATTTACTACAGTGCTGTTTAGTATTAAGAGAACCTGGAAAAGGGCTGAAGTGTAGCTCAATGGTAGAGTGGTAGCATGTGCATGGCCTTGGGTCCCATCCCAGTTCAATAAGAGAAGGGGAGGGCAGGAGAGGGAAAAACTGGGAAATTATTTAAATGCCCAGTGATAAGAAATTGATTAAATAAAATAAAGCCTTATTTACCAAAACTACTGAAGAATTTAAAATTGCTAAATTATTAAAATGAATGAATTTTTTATTGTTTTAAATATTTTTTTAGTTGTTAATGGACCTTTGTTTTATTTAAATTTATATGATGCTGAGGATAAAACCCAGTGCCTCATACCTGTTGGGCAAGTGCTCCACCACTGAGGTGGAGTGCCCTTGTAAGGGAGACCTGGAATGCTCCCTCATCCTTGGCCAGATGAGGACATAGCAAGGAAATACCATCTGAGGAACCACTGAGGAACCACCCAGCCCCCATAAAACTGATGAATTTATTTTTTGGGGGTGGGGGTATCAGGGATTGAACTCAGGGGCATTCGACCACTGAGCCACATCCCTAGCCCATTTTGTATTTTATTAGAGACAGGGTATCACTGAGTTGCTTAGCGACTTGCTTTTACTGAGGCTGGCTTTGAACTCATGATCCTCCTGCCTCAGCCTCCCGAGCAGCTAGGATTACAGGTGTGTGCCACTATGCCTGGCCAAAATTGATGAATTTTAAAACATGTTTTTCAGTTGCAGATGGACATAATACCTTTATTTATCTATCTATCTATTTATTTTTATGTGGGGCTGAGGATCCAACCCAGTGCTTCACATGTGCCAGGCAGTGCTCTCTCACTAAGCTACAACACCAGCCTAAACTGATGAATTTTTATTAAGAGAAGAAATTATTCTTATGCATATGAGGAGAAAAACAATAGCAGTCAGTAACCTAAGGCTCCTAGAATACCCTCTAAATCCCTCTGAAATACCCATCACTAGGTGTAGTTTGTTCTATCTTATGCAGGTATAAAATACATATTTTTGAGTCCCAGGCATAAAAAACTTATATAAAACCAAACTAATCTTACCCAAATCTCTTTTATTGCAATTCTCATTACTTTTTCAGTTTCATTTATTTCCAGGGGTCTGGCAATGGCTTCTGTTCTCAGTTCCTAAGAGAAACAATAAACTCATTTACATAGATTTTCAAAAAAGGAGTATTCAAAACCAGTGTTCCTAGATCCACATCTGGCTTATGGACTAATTCTCAAAAGTTTCATTACAGGACTGGGGACACAGCTTGATGATGGAGCACGTGGTTAGCGCATATAAGGCTCTGGGTACAATCCCCAGCACCAAAAGAAAAAAAGTCTCATTATAATGTGGATCTCTGATGTAAAAAGACCTCTGCCCATGACCTATAAATGTCCTCTGATGCCAACTTTGTCTCTCCCCAGATCTCAAGATTCTCCTTTTCAGTTCAAGGCCCAACATGCCCTTAGCTCTGTGTGCAAACCTGAACTTAGCATCTGTTACCTTTTCTCCCAAATTTACTTCATGACTTACATTCTGTTCAAACTAAGCACAACATAACTTGCTGTCTGAATCCCTGCTATAAACTTTTTTATGATTAAGTCTTTCTAAGTTGCCTATTACTGACAAATGCAGATGAGAATGGTCACCTTGACCCTGCCGCTAGTCAAGGGGGCCTTGTGGCTATCATATCAGTACTGGGAACTTTGGAACCATGGGATTTTAATGTGGATGTAGTTATTAACCAGGTTAGAGACTGAATGTTTGTCTCATTCCTGAGGATCCTGTTGAAACTCTAACCCAAAGGGTAATGGTATAAGGAAGTGAGATCTTTAGTATGAGTTAGATCATGAGGGTGATACCCTCATGAAGGAATTAGTGCCCTTGTAAGAGAGACCTGGAATGCTCCCTCATCCTTGGCCAGATGAGGACATAGCAAGGAAATACCATCTATAAGGAAGGGGCCCTTACCAGACACCAAATATACCAGCACTTAGACCTAGGACCTCCTAGTCTCCAGAATTGTGAGAAATAAATTTCTATTGTTTTCAAACCACTGAGTCCATCATATTTTGTTGTAGTAGCCCAAATGGATTAAGATGCAGCTCCTAGAGCTCCTATCACACTCTACCTTGCACTTCTGTTACTCTTGTACATCTCATCTCCCCCACTGGTGGGAAGCAGTGAGGGAGGGCAGGGATCATGGCTATGGCTTCCTTAAGAAGGCAGAGCTTGATGCTGTGCCTGTGGCTGGCACTGGCTCTCAATGTAAGTTTACTGAGTGTGTATATACATTGTGGGGTGGTGGCAATTGGGAATTGACCACTGAGCTACCTCCCCATCCCTTTTTACTTTTTGAGACATGGTCTCAGTAAGTTGCCCAGGCTGGCCTTGAACTTGTGATCTTTCTGCCTCAGCCTCCCAAATAACTGCGTTTACAGGCGTGCACCATTGTGCTGGCTTATATACTACATTAGAGAAGTACTATATTCAGAGCTCATGGTTTCCTTGGGAACAGTTCAGTCACTGATTATTTATTATTCCCGAAAGATCAGTGCTGAAAGAGTGTCCGGTGGATGCTGGTGAAGTCTTACAATGATGCCATAGTTCCCCTGGTGCTCAGCAGGTCACCAGCCCTGTCTCTGGGTCTCAGGAAGGTGTATAGACACACAGGCACTATTGGGCTATACACAGAAAACCTGGGATTGACTCCCCAGTTACCAGAAATGGCTGTCAGATGTTAGTGGCAGTTTTGTTATGCCTACCACTTCACCTGGTAGCAACACTAGGTTGGCACATGAAGAGCCAGGATGGTAATGTGACATCCAAGTCCTCACCCCTGATATCTACTTCCAGTTTGTTCCTGGGTTACAGTGAAAAGCAGGGGGACAAATACCTTTACACTGTAGCAGAAATGCCAGAACACAGGCAAGACAGTAAGAGAGGTGTTGAGGCTGGCATACCTAATAGAAAGCGAGGGAATGAAATTCATTTACTGTAAAAACACTAGACTGGACATGTATGCTTCAAATGCCATCAATCGTTACAGGTAAGCATTCAACAGTACTTCGTTTCTTCTTGAACCAGTACTTCTCCGATTCTGCTGCTTGTTGGAATAGCCTGGATAACTTTAAACCCTGATCTGGTTCTTAGCCTCTGATACGCCAACTCACTGGTATGAGGACAACCTGGACATAGGGTGAGTCTAAGGTTCAGTAAAGTTTAGCAACCACATTATTTACAACAGACAAGTGCATGCCTGTTCCTTGGTTGGCACCAGTTGAAATAAAGGATTGTAAATAAGTTTAAAAAATAACATTGATTCCAACTGCTTAGGAGTGACTGCCTGGATCACTGGTCCTAAACTTTGCTGTGTGTTTTACCTGAAAGACTTGAAACTCAATGCCTAGGTCACATTTCATAACAGAGACATCAGAATAAAAGCTTGCTTCAGGAGTTTGTAAAGATTCTTCAAGTGAGGCCACAGAAGCAACGTTTAGGATCCATAGGCTGAGAACAGCATTGCTGAGAATTCTGAGGTTGAGTTCATGGGGAAAAGAACACCATGATCAGCAAGGTTAGGCACAGGTTCAAGGACAATCTCAGCCACATGCCAATATTTGCCACTCCTGAATTAGAAGTTCAAGGTATTAAAACCAGTAGATCTCTGACCAGTAGAAGAGGAGGACCTAACATTTTACATGACTTTCCACATATTACCTCATTTAATCACAGGTAAAGTTTAATACAACAAGAACCACCAAAAAGCAAGAAGCATAATTGAAAAAGAAAACCTGGAAGAAAAAAATCTGTATTCTTTCTCTGAACAATGCTTACCCTCAATTCAACCTCCTTGCCCAGCAAGTCATATAGTGATGCTCCTTTGGAGGTGATTTCAGAAGCAAGCTGCCTGGCTGCTTTCAAATCTGCAATCTGGAAGGTAAATATCAGAAGCATGAATTTCAGTTTTTAACAGGCATCCACAACCAGTTGCTTATTATCAACTGCTACCTTTAGAGAGGATATGTTTTTAGCAGTCCCACAATTACGTGCTATAGGACAGCACTCCCAGGACATCTGCTTAGGAAACACTGACCTAAGTACAAATAAGACCAATTTCAGAATATCTGGTGTCTCCAAAGACCAAATTTCAAGCCAATCTAAATCCAGAGATACAGAAAGAAGAAACCTGACATGCTTCCAGTTTTGAATAGGTCACAATGGGTCCAGCAACAGCAGTAGGGTGACCAAATGAAGGGGCAACCTAAGGGACACCTGCCCTACTGCAGCATCTTCAAGGCCTATATTCAGCCTACCCTGTCTCCTCATTCTCTGCCTCTGACTTTCCCCCATAGGGTGCTGTGAGGCTCAGGTGTGGTAGCATCCTCTAAGTACTCACAACAGTTCTCAACTCCCACAAGCATGGGGGCTACTGCCAGGAAGACAATGCCAGTGACTATGATGCCAATTTAGCAACCAGTCTTCTTTCTTAGGGTATGTGTGTGCTCCCCTCTTTCTTGAGTGTGTTATATTTCCCAAAGATCCAAACATAAACATCTACCTGCTAGGTCATTCTCCCTCTCTCCAAAACAAAGAATCCCCAAATGCTCTTTTATTTCCAACACACTAGCAAGAGCCTGGGGACATGGTCTGTTCCAGCTCCAGCTGCTTTTCCTACTTGACTGGCAAAAAGTTTCTAACTTGCTTTGCAGGATTCTCCTCACCTTCCCCACCTCTTGACAGTGATACTGGCACTCCTTCTAACCCCATGACTTTAATTCTACCTATGTGCTCCTAACCCCAGCTCCAGCCTCACACGCCAACTACCTGCTCAGCATCTCTACCTGGACAACCAAGGCACATCATAAATATAACATGTCCAGAACCAAACTCATCTTCCCCACCACACCTCTGCCCTTTCAGACTCTTCTTTACTTCAGCTAATGGCAACTTAATCCTTCCAGATGCTCGGACCAAAAACTTCAGAGCTGAATGTCTAATACTGTAACTGTTAGCCACATATGGCCACTTTCACATTTAAATGAGTTAATAATAAAGTACAATTTAGAGCTCATCTCCTCAGCTGTGCTAGCCACTTTGGCCAGTGGCTTCTACAGAAACACAGCACAGATGCAAACCATCAGCAGAGCAGGTCTGACAGTTTTGTGCCACTTTGGGATCTTCCTAGTGTCATCTCACCTACCTCAAAATCCATAGTCAGTCCCATAAAATCTACCTTCAAAATATGTCTGCACCTGTAGCTACTTCTCTTTACCAGGGGCCTGGCTCCTGGTTAAAAAACAATGTGCAAAAAACTAATAATAAATAAAAGTAGAAAGCAAACAAACAAATTAAAAACACATGATTTTTCAGGCCTGACCATGATAATTAGAAGGCTTTCCCTGGCAGGCCTCACAGAGGAAAGCTGTCCTGATCCCCGATGAGGGGCACAGCTGATGCACTGGTCTCTGAAGGGCACAGCAGGCAGGACCCAGGCCCCTGGCCAGTCATGCTCTAGTCTGTGTTCCTAGCCTGGCTGCCTTTACTCTAGTCTCCTCATCTGAGCCTTGGGCCGAAGCTCTTCAGGTGCCTCTCCTGGAGCGTGGGGCTCAAAAACACCTTCCCCACCTTGGCAGTATCTAGTACTTTTCCACTTCTGGTCCTCCCTTCACCCCACTTCAGGGTCCATAAAACTGCCAGAGTCTTTTGTTGGGGGTTCTGGCTCTTAACTGGCAGATGCATCATTCTATGGGGGAAAATGAAACAGACAGTTATCCCTTCCTATGGCTTTAGAGTCTTGCTCAGACCACGGCAATCAATGATTAACTTCCATGCTCAACTCTCACTTCAGTCTGGTGGCAATGCAGCAGGCAGAGGGATCCTTTGCATAGAAAATTCAAGCTTAAACATCTCTGCTCAAAATCCCATTTTCCAGCCCAAGTAAAAAAATTAAAGGTTTTATTTCCTGGACCAGAGGGCCTCCTGTCCTGGCTCTCACCACAGAGATCCCTTGCTCTTTTCAAACACACAAAGCACACTGTTATCTCAGGACACACGTCCCCACCCCCATTTGCATGGCTGCTCCTTCCTTCCCTCAGATCTCAGAAGCCACCCAACCCATGAGGCCTTCCTGGTCACTCTAGGAAAAATACCTTCCCCAGCACTCTCCATCCTGATCCTGCTTTGTTATTCTCCATGGTGGTCACTTTTAACATTGGGGTTCATAGTCTGACTCCCTCAACGAAGCAACAGGACAGAGGACTCTATCCTCTTTGTTCACACCTATATCCCTAGCACTTGAATGGTTCCTATTAAATATGAGGCTTTCAGTAAAGAATTGCATTAATTCACTGTGACTTTCCTTTTATCAGAATGCTGATGAGCACAAAACTGGCCAACTGCCCTTGGTCAAGCAGTAAGGAACGTGGTGGTGCTCTGAGTGCCACGCACATCCTACTCCCGAGTCCAAGAAATAAGCACTCCTTTAATCCTTACCTTGGAGCCGAGATCAAACTTGAATTTGCTGACATCTTCCTCTCCTATTTTTGAACTCTCCATCCCTTTGGTCTTCATAGCATTATAAAGGACAGATGTGACCTTCAGCAGTTCTTTCACTGCATATCCATCAGCCTGGTAAAGCTTCTTAGTATTGAGTTTTATATGTGCTTTCGTGGCCTGTTTTAAAAAAATATATATATTAAGGCCCTTTCTAAATAATCCTATATAATCTAACCCAAATCCTATGCAGGTAATTTGAAAATGCCTCTGCTGAGAATTGGGAGACAACCTAATAGTATTATGAGTAAACATCTAAGTGACTCATGCATTGTGATCTGGTATATACATTGATACAATCTTGATGGAGAGCAATTTAGTAAGACACCAAAATTACACATGGACATATCTTTTGGCCCAGAAGTTTCATTACTAAGAACTTACTCTAGGGATATACGTAGACACCAAATGATATGCATAGGCTATTCTTCACAGCATTGCTTCAAAGAGTGAAAGTTGGAAGCAACTAAATACCTGTCTACATAAATTTCATCAATAATGGTGTATCCATGGGGGGGGGCACTCAAGTGTAAGAGAATGAGGAAATTCTGTATGGGTCTGGAAAGTTCTATAAAACATACTATTAAGTAAAGACAGCAGAATACTACACAGGGGAATACAGCATACTACCATATGTGTAAAAGGAAGGAAAATAATAACACATAACATTTGCTTGAAGAAACAAACTCTGGAAGAAATTTAAAATAGTGGTTACAGGGAATGCGACTGGAACCATGCTGACAGGGTAAAAAGTCAGTGTATTCTATGTAATTTCATGATTTTTAGCAATTTTAAACCATGAAATACATTATCTACTCAAAAATAAACTGGGCTGAGAGTGCAGCTCAGTGGTAGACCATGTGCTTAGCATGCAGCAGGCCCTGGATTTGATCCCCAGTATCAAACTAATTAAATTTAAAAATAAAATAAGCAAAAATCTTAAATAGTTAAAAAACAAAAAGCTTCACTGTGAATTGGCTCCACAGAACCCTGGCAATAGAATGGTTTTAGAAAGTAAACTCAATTTGAAAGCAAATCTAACTAAAATTTATCCCTAATTTATTTAATTCCACAAAATAACTGTGAACTAACCATGAACTGGGCAATGGCCTTAATGAAGAAAACTCGGTCTTGTTCAGTCTCAACATCAGAAGGGATGTCAGTCTGGGGCTCATACCTATGACAGAGAATAAACAAATAGGTCCAACAGAAGCCCTCAAGAGAAAGTGGGCAACTGAAAGGACAGTGGCTCTCCAAGTCTTCAGATAAGGTCATATGGTTAAGAAAAACTTCAAAAGCAACACAAAATACCTAAAGGGCAAACTCCCACCTAACAACACATTTAATTGATTTAAAAATTAAACATGGGGCTCAGCTTACAAAATCAAATCTATGTCAAATCTCAATGTTTGGTGAAAATAATCAGAACTGTAACTTTGGCTAACAGCCCTTGATACTGACCATAGATACTAGGACTAAACAGTTCACCTCGAGAAGGAGCAGAGTCATTGAAGTTACTTTCACTGAGTTACTGATAATTCACCAGGGCCAGCAGACTGCAGCCCTCAACCTGTTTTTTTTAGCTTGCAAGCTAAGGATGTGTTTTACATTTTAAAGACAAAAAAGTATATTATCTATACACAGGGAATAGATATGTGTAAATATACATAAATATATATATCCTATACATAAGAGAGCTTATGTAACATGTATTTATTATCTGGCCTTTAGACAAAAGGTCTCTAACAAGAATCATCTCAGATTTTTTGACACAAAAAGAAACCTAAGATACTCCTAATCCAGTACATCCCAAGTACGCAGGGAGGTCCATGACATTCTGTGGTGAAGGGATGAAGAGGAGCTTACATAAATGCCTGAGAAACATTCCCTTCCTGGGGTGTTCTTTGAATTCAGCCAATTCTCAACAGGTCACAAATTCAAATTGTACTAAACTCTTTTGCATCACAACAGTACCTGGTTTCCAGTTGGCTAATTAATAAAATCTAGCCTTCATCCTTAGATTTCAAGTGTAGTCCTAACCTTTTCACAAGCCAGAGCAGCACTTCAGACACAAGCCCAAAGTTGGGTGTGCGGAAATTTTCCATAGAAATGTGTCGTGGGTATCCCAGGGCTCTCATCATCTCTGTGAAATCTGTCCAAGAAAAAACATAATTCAGTCAGTTCTTCACCAAATGGCAACTGCTTATTACCTTAGATATTATCTCTGCTTTCCCTTCTTACTCTCAATCTACTAACAGCTTTAGGGGCTATTTAGCAATTCTTAAGAGGGAAGGAAAAAAGGAGATAAAATTGAAAATACCTAATCTGTTACCAGAAAAACATCTACTCAAGTCCAATGGGAGAAGATGCTATATAGGAAAATGGGCTTTAGGGATTAGCTGTGGCTTTAATTTTTCTCTGATTATCTCTTTACCATTCAAAATAAGAAATACTTGGCCTTATAAAATTTAACAGGGAAAGAATATTTTAAAATGTTAACAGCAGTTATGGGGGGTAGGGTAACTTCATGTTTCTGAGTTGTCTTTTTGTGTGTGAATATACAGGATCTTAATAACACAAATTTTAAAGATTAATTAATTTCCTTGTATTCAGAAAAATGTTAAAGAGAGCAGTTCAATACTAGAGCAATATTTAGATTATCAAACAGATTAAGAAATAGTATTGCTAACACTTGTTATTCCTAGATTGGGAATGCCTCAGGAAAAGCCATAGTACTTGCAACAGATCAAGATTTGGTGTGCCAAGACCAATTTTCCATGTGCTTCCTGACTATGTAATATTTGTCCTCATTCTTCCTGAAGAGGGATGTTCCAAATGTCCCAATGACATTCACAAATAACCTACCTACCTGGGTATTGACAGTAAGGTCGGCTTCTACCAGATAGTGGAAGACAAGGTTTGAGCACAGGGAAAAGAAGTCACTTTGTGACTCTTTTTTTGAAAATCTGAATAGACAGAAAATAAAGCAGCAGCTTTCTCATCACAGGCATTGCCGAAATACTTCTTCTTGCTAAGGACTACTAGTAGTGGTCGAATTCTGTTAATTTTGCATTTTTCTTGTCAAATGGAGACTAACTTGAGACTGTTACCATACACTGCATGATTGCAGAACATTCAGAATTTTATTCTGAATCCCTCTTTTACACTTTCCCCAGCACAACCCTATTCAATGTCCCCTAGTAAAGTGGTGGCCCCACCAAAAAGTACACAGTAGGAGACACCTGTCTTTACAATGTAGTCACCAAAGACTCTCTCTCATTCCAGAAGATATGATCCCACAATGCTAAGAGGTGCGTCAATGAAATGTGATTAGTCTTCCTGTAAATGTACACCAAAGAAAGAGAATTTCATAACAGAAAAGAGTATTCTCTAATGCTGAAATTACAGGCACCAGCAATTTGATGAGAAAAAGAGTCCAGAGACTGCAGGTTGACAATCACCTAGTACTCCTCCGCAGGTGAGGCCAGTTAGCTTAACGGCTTCTGATTCAGAGAATGACTGTGTATAAAAGACAAAGAGGCTGGGATTGTGGCTCAGTGGTAGAGCGCTTGCCCCGCACATGTGAGGCCCTGGGTATGATCCTCAGCACCACATAAAAAATAAATAAAAAATAAATATATTGTGTCCACCTACATCTAAAAAAAAAAAAAAAATCAAAAAAACGAGATTGCAGAGTCACACAGTCCTAGGTCTTAATCCTCTGTTGCAACCAGTTCTAGCTGTGTGACCTAAAGCAAGCTACTTTACCTCTCTATGCTTCAAAATATTTCATCTACCAAACTACATCACCGCTAAAGTGAGGACTAGAGCAAGTCAGTGAATGAAAACTCCTGGTGAATAACAGGCGCCCCTCAAGGGGTAGGGACCCACTCCGCGCTCCACCCCTGCCCCAGGCTGCCCCGCCCTGCCCTTCTGGCAAAGGCGTAGAGTCTCTTCTCGCCAGCCCTTTCAGAAGGACGCGGGCTTTGGAGTTCCCACACGCTGGATCCCATCCCCGCGCGACCTGCTACCACCTGTCACTCTTCCCAGCTACCGGCCTTCTCCGTGCCGCCTTCCTCATCTCTAAACGAGGGACACAGAACTGTCCGGAGGGCTAAGAAAATCATGCATATACACTGAAAAGTACCAGGCAGAACCTGAAAACTCAAAAAGTGCCAGCCGCATTAGCCCATCCTCCAGCCCTCTCCTGCGGTTGCCGCGTCTCCCCGCACAGCGCCGAGTGGACCCGACTCGGAAGTCTGCGCTTCGCAGGCACCTTCCGAGGCGGCTGTTCGGTAACGAGTGAGTTCACGAGGAACCGTAAGGCCGGTCCCCCGGCCGCTCCCCACACTTCAGGTGCTCGGCAGCCACACGCGGCAGGGCACACCGAACTTTCCAGATCAAGGCGCTCTCGGGGAGGGGGCTCGTGGTAGCGCGGGGACCAGGCGGGGAAGACCCGCGGGCACGGGGGAAATGGGCGGCCTTACTGCGGAGGTCGCGGAAAGACATGGCGCTCTGGTTCACGGGAGCCGCGGTTGCCGTTGCCCTCCCCTCAGCACTCGCCGGTCTCTATGGCAACACACCGTCGCTAGACGGCGTGCTGACTGGGCCAAACAGGACCAGAGGCGGAGCGTCGTGACGCGCGCATGCGCACTAGGAGGGCAGTCTGAAGAGAGACGCCTAGGGCCGCGGGCTCGGCGATTTGAGTCCTTTTACACGCTTTCCAAACACCTGGCATCCGCTGATGTGTTCTGAATGCGTACTCTGTGTTCCACAGAGTTCTAGACGCTTCCCACACGCCTCGATTTCCTCACTTCTGTACAGAGCATACTCTCAGGACGCGGGGTCCTGCCTACAGCATACTTCCTTTCTGACATACACACAGGGCCTGCGCCCGAGGCCATCGAAAAGCGTCCGCAGCACGGAGGAGTGGAGGTTTCGGGGTAGACTATCCTGGACCCCGCGCACGCGCAGCCGTCTGGGTTTTTACGACTGGCCGGAAATCGTCTGGCAGTTGTCGTGACAACCTTGGCGGATTCCTCGGGGATGGACCGCAAGGAGGCTACAAGGCCCTGCCAGGACGCAGAGTGTGGCGGCAGTGTCTTCCTGGGGCGCCGCAGGGATCCCTCCCTGGCGACCACCACGGGGCAGAGAGGCGACGAAGAAGCGCTGGGGAGATGAACTGAGTCTGGTAGGGTGGACAAGAGGAAGGCAAACCCCGAAGTGAGGCGAAGCGGGGCCAAGGACGCCCTCTGTCGGTGGGTTGTGGTATTGGCCCAGTCCAGAGTCTGGCATCTGTGGCCAGTCCAACCTGTGTTTACGTGGATAAAGAATAGTCTGCTGGGACTGCAAATTGGTGCAGCCAATTTGGAAAGCAGTATGGAGATTTCTTGGAAAGCTGGGAATGGAACCACCATTTGACCCAGCTATTCCCCTTCTCGGTCTATTCCCTAAAGACCTAAAAAGAGCATGCTACAGGGACACTGCTACATCGATGTTCATAGCAGCACAATTCACAATAGCAAGACTGTGGAACCAACCTAGATGCCCTTCAATAGACGAATGGATAAAAAAAAAGTGGCATTTATACACAATGGAGTATTACTCTGCATTAAAAAATGACAAAATCATAGAATTTGCAGGGAAATGGATGGCATTAGAGCAGATTATGCTAAGTGAAGCTAGCCAATCCCTAAAAAACAAATGCCAAATGTCTTCTTTGATATAAGGAGAGTAACTGGGAACAGAGTAGGGACGAAGAGCATGAGAAGAAGATTAACATTAAACAGGGATGAGAGGTGGGAGGGAAAGGGAGAGAGAAGGGAAATTGCATGGAAATGGAAGGAGACCCTCAGGGTTATACAAAATTACATACAAGAGGAAGTGAGGGGAAAGGGAAAAATAATACAAGGGGGAGAAATGAATGACAGTAGAGGGGGTAGAGAGAGGAGAGGGGAGGGGAGGGGAGGGGGGATAGTAGAGGATAGGAAAGGCAGCAGAATACAACAGACACTAGTATGGCAACATGTAAATCAATGGATGTGTAACTGATATGATTCTGCAATCTGTATATGGGGTAAAAATGGGAGTTCATAACCCACTTGAATCAAAGTGTGAAATATGATATGTCAAGAACTATGTAATGTTTTCAATAACCAACAATAAAAAATTAAAAAAAAAAAAGAATAGTCTGCAACAAATGGTTTTGGAGCAGTTGTAAACCCATGGCAAATAAGTAAGCCTCCATTCTTATCTTGCACAATATACGAAAATTAAAAATGAGTCGGGCGCGTTGGCGCACGCCTGTAATCTCAGCGGCCTGGGAGGCTGAGGCAGGAGGATGGCAAGTTCCAAGCCAGTCTCAGTGGGGCTAGGGTTGTGGCTCAGAGGTAGAGTGCTTGCCTGGCATGTGTGGGACACCGGATTCGATCCTCAGCTACCACATACAAATAAAATAAAGGTATTATGCCCACCTAAAACTAAAAAATAAGTTACAAAAAAAAAAAAAGCCAGCCTCAGCAAAAGCCAGGTGCTAAGCAACTTCTGGCAAATAAGTAAGCTGTGGGTTGTGGTATCGGCCCTAAGATAGGGCTGGAGATGTGGCCCAATCAGTGATTGGATGCTCCTGAGTTCAATCCCAAGTGCTCCACCCCCCCCCCAAAAAAAATTAAAAATGGATCACAAATGTATATGTAAAACCGAAACCTAGGGGAAAAGCTTTGTGTCTGGGTTAGGCAAGATTCCGTAGATATACAAAGAGTACAACCTCAGAAAATTTCTTTGGGATAAATTGGACTTCATCAAAATAAAATTTGCTCTTCAAAAGGAATGGTTAAATTTTTTTTTCATCAAATTGGATTTAGAGATCAAACTGACATTCGTTAGGGATTCATGAATGGGTAGCACCCCTTCTCTGAGCTAGATGCTGAAATGGGCATGGCAGAACAGTGGAGTTTTTAAGGTATCTTGAGGAAGAAGGAGGAAATGACATAAAGCAAGGAGAGGACTGGTTAGCAGCAGGTTGCTTTCCCTGTGTGGGTTAAAGCAAAGAGCGCTTCCTTATCAAGTTGACTCAGGTCAACTGGGTTGCTTATGATTGGTTGCTGTGAATCTCCTGTTTTTTGGAAAACCAGGTTCATTTCCAAACGCAGTTTGATTATGTGGCACCTAGCATCAATGACTCCATTTGGGCTTGATCTGGTCTATTAACATAACCCCCCCCATAAATTTTATTTAATAAACCATTAAGAAAACAGAAAGACAAGCCACAGTCTCGAAGAAAATAATGTCACAGAACACATACCCGATTTAAAAGACATATCCAGAATATGTAAATTCTCAAACACTCAATGAGAAGATAATATAATTAAAAAATATAAACAGATGCTTCACAAAAGAAGATATTGGCATCCTTGTCAGAATCAATTGACCATAGACGTATAGGTTTAATTTTGAGTTCTCTAGCCCTTCTGTGTGTGTGTGTGTGTGTGTTTGTGTGTGTATATATGAATGATATATGCCAGTTTTATACTGTTTTGATTACTGTAACTTTGTAGTAAGTTTTGAAATCAGAAGCTGTTAGTCCTCAATCTGCGTTTTCATTTTTCAAGATTTTTGTGGTTATTTGGGCTCCCTTATAATTCCATATAAATTTTAGGATGTTTTTCCATTTCCTGTAACAATATTATATGTCATCTTGACTGGGCTAAGGGACGCACAGATGATTAGTGTACCATTATTTCTGGGTGTGTCTGTGAGCGTGGTTCCAGAAGAAATTAGCATTTGAATTTGTAGACTGAATAATACAAGGTGGCCCTCACCAAAATGGGTAGACATCATCCAGTCCACTGGGGTCCAATTAGAAAGGTGAAGGAAGAGTTTAAGTGGGTACATCCATCCTCTGTCCTTGGACATTGGAGCTCCTGGTTTGGGGGCCTTTGGATATTAGACTTATACCAAATGCCATCTCTATTCCCACCCTCACTCTCGGGCCTTTAGACTTGAATTGACCCATTGGCTTTCCTGGTTTTCCAGGTTGCAGATGATATATTGTGGGACTTCTTGGCCTTGTTGATCAGATGAGCCAATTCCCCTAATAAATCTTCTCTTAAATAGCTGTATATACACCTTTGATTCTGTTTCTCTGGCAACCCTAATACACTATCTAAAACCCATTGACATTTTCATAAGGGTTGCCTTGAATACTTAAGGGAATATTGTCGTCTTGACCATATCAAGTCTTCAATCTATGAACATGGAATGCTTTTCTATTTAAGTTTTCTGTCAATTATCTCAGCAGTGTTTTTTAGCATGTAGTGTTGGTTAAATTTGCTCCTGTTTCATTCTTTCTGTACTCTGCTCATGTGTAGAAATACAACTGACTTTTGTGTATTGACCTTTTTCCTAAGACTTTGCCAAACTTTTCTTTAACCGCAACCCTAGATTGTTGATTCCTTCCTTCTTTTTTTCCTCCCTTCCTCTTCCTTTTTTTTCTTTCTAGTGTGTGTGGATTCTTTAGTTAGCTATGACATCCATAAGCTTTTTGCATACACAAGATTGTGTTATCTGTCAATAGAGAAAAGTGAATGTGTATTTTTTGTGCTTTATTTTTTATTTTTTTGTGGTACTGGGGACCAAACCCAGGGCCTCACACATGCTAAGAACATGCTGTATCCCTGAGCTACGCTTCCAGCCCAGTCTGTTCAAGAAACCAGTAAGCACTTTTCCAAAGTAGTTGTACCATTTTACATTCCCAACAGCAGTATATGAGAGTTCAAGGTTCTTTCTCCACACCCTTATAAACAGTTGGTATTATCTACACACTACCCAGAAACTTAAGGGAAAATGGACAGACCAGTGAAGTGACTTGCCAGTCACCCATAACCACTTTCTTGGCCCAGTCAAAGCATTGATCCAGGACTCACCAAGTCCTCATTTCCCATCCAGAGATGAGGAAGCTAAGTTCCCCAAAGGTCACCCCAGAGAACAACTCTCCAGTCTGCCAGGCTAGAGCAAACAGGGACTTCCTATGGGGTTCTAGTCCCCTCCCATGCCTTCCTCCCATGTTGACTTTGCCCTGGGCATTATCCTCTCCCAAACTAGGGGTCCAGGAAGGCTGGAGTCTTCCCTGTGACATCATAAGAGCCAGTTGTCATGGGAGACCTGCACACCCACCCCTCAGGCAGGGCAGAGCAGGGCCCTGCTGCACAAGGCCTGGCCACTCTTTCCCCACCATACTGGCCCTCCATGGAAGCCTTGGTCTGTGCGTTCTCTGAGCTGAGCATAAGAGAAGGTGCTGGGCTGTGGGGAAGAGTGGCAGGTCAGATGCCCTCTTGTCCCAGCTGGGGCTCAAAGCCACTGGGGTGGCCTCAGGGACATGCATACTTGGGAGAGGAAAATGTGCACTGATTCAAGCCATTTGACTCTAGGCTGGTCACTTCCTCGTGGACCCACTGTGCAACTTCTATACTGAGACCAGAATTCTCTTTCTAGGGTAGGGGGCACAAAGGGCTTGAAGTGCTAAAAGGGATTTCAGTCCCAGGCTTTAGGCCTCCCTGTTGGTTTAGGGGTGTGAAGAGGGGTAATGGGCAATGGGCAGGGCAGAGGCAGAAAACCAAGCCCACTTGGCAGACAAGTAAGCTGAGGCTTGGCAGACTGGGGGAGGAGCCCATGATATGAGCTGGTCTTAGAGACAGGTGCCTGCATTCTCCCCTCATGGATACTGGACCAGCTGGCCACCACCCTCCTGCCCTTCCCCTGCAGATGCAGTGAGCTGGGCCCGAGGACGCCCCAGTCACCTGGACACACCTCCCAACATCTACGAGGGGGGCCTGGGGGCCCAGCAGCAGCAGTGCCCCAGTGCCCAGGGAAACAAGCCCAAGAACTTCCGGCTGCGCCACCTCCGGAGCCTGGCTCTCTACCTGCCAGGCCATATGCAGCCTGCTGGCCAGTGCGAGAGCCACTGGCTGGGCCGGCTTCTGGCTGGGGGGTACCTACCACAGCCTGAGGGCTCAGCCTCGCCCTTGGACCTTCCACAGGGGACTCTGGGCCCAAGTAACAACCACTGCTCAGCCCTTCTGGAAGCCCAACTACCCAGGGACAGCCTGGGAGATACAGGTGAGCTCTGCTAAGGCAAGACTGGGGACAGGAGGGGTAGATCCCAGGAACTCAAATGGGGCTTCTCCAGGGATTAGGGTGGGATACCAAGATGTTATGCTCCAGAGGCTCAGATCTTGGTGAATCTGCCCCATCCCTGTACCCTATTATTGGGTTAAGGCCATCAATGTACCCAGGTCACAAAACTCCTGGGCCCATGGGGTCTTGGTGTGGTGGTGGTAGTGTACAGCTGGGTCAGGGATGGAGTGTATCAGGGCAAGGGGGTATGAAGCAAAGAGAAGGCTCGGGGACTGAGTGTTCTGGGTTCCTGTTCTAGCTCTGCATTTGATGAGGGACTTTGGACAACTCCCTGTCTTCCTGAGCCTCAGTTTGTCCATCTGTCAAATGAGGCATTCAGGTTAGGTGAGGGTCCTTCCAGATTGAACCATTCACCTCCCACTTCCTTCCCCCAGTTCTCCCAAGGAAGGAATGCCATTTATCCCCTTCTGTTTTGAAGGTGTCAGGGTCTGGGAACTGTAGGGTGGGTTGCCAGTCTCCCTTGAGGTCTGAGTGACTCTTCTCTTTCCTCTTTCCTCAGCTTCCAGTTCCAGCATGGACCCAGCCAAGGGTGCCCCTGCCCAGCCAGGTCCCCCTGAGGGCTTGGGGCTCAGGCCCAAGAGGTCCTGGGGAGCCTTGGAGGAGGCCATGTGTCCCTTGTGCAAGAGAACCTGCTCTGGGGCCTTGGAGAGGCCATAGGGATCCTGAATTCCAGGGCTGGGGAACAGAGGAGAAGGATAGCCAAGGAAGAGGAGGCAGGTCCAAAGAGGAAGGGCTCAGACGGCACAGTAGCCCTGCCCAATGAGACAGCCCCACAGCTGCCCAGCACCAGATTTGGGCCAGCTCAGGAGAGTGCAAAGGGGGAGGGAGGAAGAGGTCCTAAGGGGGGGAACAGAAGAAATAGAAGCATGGCCCTGCCCTTGCAGCCTGCTCAAACTCCAGTCAGCCACTTGCACCTGGGAGGCCAGGCCGAGCAGAGAATCAGGTTCCTGACAGGCCAGGGAGCCCTCAGGTCTAAGCTCAGTAAAAGCCAAGGCCTGTACCTTCTTGTCTGTGTGTGTCTGTCATCAGGCTAACTCAGTCAGAAAAATAGCCTTGTGTAAATTCCAAGTCCAGGGGCAAGGAAAGGAGGTTGGGTTTCAGGAAGGTGCTGAGAGGAGAGCAACTGAGGCAGGAATGTTGGTCTGGAACCTGCACCATCCCCACTGAGAACTTGGGATCCAGCAGGACAGGCACCACCCTTCTCTGTGCTGGCCTGGATGCAAGCACTGGGTGTGGGATTCCTCTGTACCTGGGTATCTGAACAGGCTGCTGGGCCTGGGGCTGGATTGGTCTTTGCTGTGGTACGACCTTGTTTCCAGTCATCATTCAGCATCCCCTGGGGGACACACCTGCTCTGGTTGGGAATCCCTGCTCTACACCATGGGGCTCAGTACTTTGAGGAGAGGGGCTTGCTCTAGTGGCCCTTGCCTATCTGTCTCACTTTCAGTCTGAGCAGCTCAGGTCAGGCTAGGATAGAGCATTAGCCCACCTCAGATTCCTGCCGGAACACACATGGTGGTGTCAGGGAGAGAGAAAGGTCTCTTTCTCTTTCCCTGCACCCTGGTTCCAGTGGTCACCCACTGAGTGACAGAAGGGCCATTGCCTTCATCCTCTCCCACAACTCTTCCTGGACTTGGAGGCCAGATGGGCCTGAGAGAGAACTATCCAAGACAGATTTTAGGAAGGAGCTGAGGAAACACAAGAGTCAGCTGCCCTTGCTACCTGCCAAAGCTTTTGTGAGGCTGCTGTCAAGGGTGCTAGGTAAAAGCTGGCAATCCCAGATCCTTGGAAACCAACAAGGAACAGATCCCCTCACTTTTGAACAACAAGAGTGTAGGCTTAGGAGCACTTTGCCCCAGAGTTCAGACCTTGTGATGCTCAGGCTGTGGTCAGTCAGTGGCCACTTGGGTTACTCCTGATGAGCCATGTGTCCCTGTCTTAAGGCCCTTGTACAGTCCCTTCCCCTTGTATAGGGATTGGCTCTGGGTCTTGCTTTACTAGTAAAATGTGAAAGTGACATGATGCCACGTTTGGGTGGTAAGAAGGCCTGGCTGTTTCCCATGTGCTATGGGAGAGATCCTGTAAAGATGAATGGTCATGTAGAGCTGATTCTTCTGAGGCCGCTATACAGTGGGAAACCAGTCTAGGCCATGCTCAGTGCTGCAGCCTTAGCCCATGTCTTCCCCCAGGAAAGACATTTGCTGTTGCCACGTGCTGGCCCAAAGAGAGCTGGCTCCAAACTGGCCTTTAGACAATTGCTCTCTAAAACCTGCACAAGGCTGGGCACGGTGGCACACACCTGTAATCCTAGCCATTCAGGAGGCTGAGGCAGTAAGATTGCAAGTTCAAAGCTAGCCTCAGCAATTTAGTGAGGCCCTAAGCAACTCAGTGAAACCCTGCCTCAAAATGAAAAATAATAAAGGGCCGGGGATGTGGCTCAGTGGTAAAGTACCCCTGGATTCCAACCCCAGTACCAAAAAAACAAAGAGAGTTGAGGATGTAACTCAGTGGTACAGCACCTTGGTTCAATCCCTGGTACCAAAAAACAAAACACACTTTGCACAAGCTTTCTTGAAAAGCACTCAACTTAAGATGACAGTATGAAAACTTCACTGTCATAGTGTTCTGGAAATGGGTTCATGTGGAGGAGCACCCCACATGTCCCCAACAAGCAGACATTTGGGGAAATGTGACTGTGGGCATACCCTTTGCATGTGATTTCCTGAATGTTGGTGGATTGGGATCTGAGTGACAAGCCTGTCCCACTTGTTCTACAAGTATGGGGCCCCTTGTGAGGGCTGCTAAGATTCTTCAAGCTGGCCCTGCAAAAGATCCTTGGGTGATATACACAGGGATTGAGGATATTGAGCCCTCCCAGGAGGGAGAAATGCAGCCATTTCTTGGGAAATCCCCCCTCAGCCAGGGGCAGAGCTGGCTCTCTTCAGACTGGGTAACTGTGTGAACCTCTTGCTTCCTGGGAGGTAGATGACCAGACTGTGGTCTGAGGGGTGGGCTGCTATAGCAGGTACCATGAGGGCAGCCCCTGCAGTCTCTGTGACAGGCTAGGAGGCCAGCTGAGAGGGTAATGGCTGCCTTCAGGGTGGGATGTAGCAGAATCCCTGAATTCTTGGACACACAATTGACCAAGGGCCTCTGGAATCACCCCTTCATCCCAAAGTTGACCCCTCAGCAAGTTTAGGCAAGGATGATAGTTGTCCTTGCCTAAATAACCAAGGCTGAGCCTCAGCAGCACGGCACTCTGGTCGGGCCAAGCTCAACAGTCTTATTTGGTTCCACTCGCCTTGGGCACTTGTGCCCAGCTGCCTGACCTCCTGGGCACCATCAGGGCCTCCTGCTCTGGCAGTGATACCAGCCCTCTCCCAAATCCACTCTGCAGGCGATGGGCACTTCCTAGGGAGGGCCCTCAGAAGCAGCACATCCCTGCTGCTGGCAGAGACTGGAGGTATGTGAACAGAGGAGCACACTTGGGCTTCAGAGGGTCTACCCATTACTTAACTGCAGCTCTTAGGTAACTTCTCAGCCTCAAGCCAGTTTTCCTCACCTGCTTAAAGGGGGAGGAAACAATCCTTCTGGGGGTGGCCAAAGGTTTCAAGGACAGGCTGGTGGGCACCTGTCACAGATTCCCATGGCTGGCCCATAGCCTCTGCTATGGTGCTGAATTGCTCTGTGAAGCTTCTCCAAACTAAGAGAGAGCCCTCGGGGGAGCTACTCATGTGGACCGGCCCCAGCTGAAGGTGAAGAGCCAGGGAGCCAGACCAGACTGAAAGGGGTAGCTGTTGAAGTCCCTTTAAGAAACAGTCCAGCTGTGGCTCTCAAGTCTGGAAGTCCTTCACTGGCTTGTGTTCCCTGGCAAGGCTAACAGAATCAGAAGCCATCCTCAGGATAGCAGTAGCAAGCAGTTCTCCCAGATGAAGACACAGGAGAAGGGCCCAGAGTGCATCAAGCTGGGCACTGGGAACAGGATGTGACCAGATAAAATCTATTTATTTGTAATGAGACAAAACACTACAATCTGTTCAACACTGGGCTGGACACTGCAGTGATTCGGGGAAGGAGGGAGGTACAGGGCAAGGCCTCTGAGCTAGATTATGAATGTCCAAGGCAGAACCTTCTGGAAGACTCTTCCCTGACCGCATGGGGCAGAAATGAAAAATCACATGATCACCGCTGATTGAGAGGAACGAGGACACATAGCTGGGGCCTCAGCACACAGCTGACGCTAGTTAGCACATCAGGGGCTACCCACTGGCCAGAGCTGTCCAGGGAGGGGGACACTCTTCCTGCCTGGGGTCTGCCTGAACTGTTGACAAGCAGAGGCCTTGGGCTGCCTCCAGCACTGAGAGCCCCGGACTGGGAAACGCTGAGGGAGGGGAGTACACAGTCACCAAGGCCCTGTCTGCTGAGCAGTTCTTCCCTCCTCTGAGGGTTGGTGAAGCAAGGGGCATGAGGACCCTCTGCACTGGCTCCCATGACACTGCAGCAATGCTGGTCAGGACGCTGGCAGCTTGGGGGTGCAAGGTGAGGGATGCTGGAGGTGTGGGACACACATGCTGCTGACATGGCCTCAGCCCTCAGAGGCTGAGGCGCCTCAGGCACTGACTGCCCCTGACCCCAAGGCCAGGCCCCACCAGCCTTTGGCAGCCATGATGCCCAGCAGGGAGCTCAGCCCCCTTATGTCTGCATCTGACCAAGCTTCGTAGCTTCATTCAGCTCATGGAAGGATAGGCAAGTGCCTCGTGGGCGCCTCAGTCCCACTCCCAGGAAGGTCAGCTGCACGCAGCATGTCACAATCCAGCAGGCAGGATGATCTCTCCAGAAACAGGAAACAGATAGCAGGAGGCCACTGAGGAAGAAGGAACTGTCCCATTATCTGACCACTGTGCCAGAGCTGGGCCCTGGAGCTCTACTTTCCCGAACAGCCAACCCTACTTTGCCCACCTCTCCATAGCCTCTTGTGGGGGGTAGGGGGTGACCCCCACCCTCTAGGCTTCTTGGGGTGGGTCCTGTATAAAAGCCTGGAATTCTCTTTACTGCACCCCCTTCTTCTGAGGCTCCTATGTCTTCAGGTCAAGGGTGTCCACAATACTTATGCTTCTTCTTCACAGTAGAAAGTTCAGTCTGGCTTTGCAGGAAGGAGCTGAAGGAACAGGCAGTGGAGTGGGAGAGGCTGGTGAGGACAGCCCCTTCCCGGAGAATGCAGCCACACTTGGCAGGGCCGAGGGGATGGTGAAAGTGCATGGAGGCAGGACCAGGGCACCCGGTGGAGGCAGGTTTCCAAAAACAGGAGAGCCAGGGAGCCTGCAGGGAAGAGGAGAGCGGGGCAGGGTGAAGGCAGTGTGGGACTCTTGCCCATCCCCACTGTCTGGCCTATGACCTGCAGGTGGGGGCCAGAGTGCCCCCAAAGCATGAGCTCTTCTTCAGGTCCATCATTCCTGCCAATGGCCACCAGGCTCCCCTCAGTCCTGGTGCAAATAAAAGCACCAATGGCTCCATACTTGGGTATACAACCAGATAGCCACAAAGCCTGCTTAAGTCACCAACCCTCCATGTGGGTGTACACAGGGAGTGGGCTTTAGATCCCTATGTCCCTTCCAGCTCTGATGTCCTCTGGAGCCTTGAGTATAGCCTCAAAACAACATGGGTGACCAGAGCAGCCGCATTTGAGCAGAAGCGTCACCTATGTGGTGCTCACCCTGGGAAGCACACACAGGGCTTTGGCTTGGAAAGGCCACTAGGCAGGATGCTGGCAGTGGTGCTGTGTTAAAGCTGAGTATGTGTGGAACTTCTGGAAGCAGACCCAAGACACAGGTCACTGGGCACTGCTTGAAAGAAGCTGAGCAACTAGGGACACAGATAGGAGGGACTTGATCTTTTTGTACCTTTTCAATTTTTGAACCATTTAATTGCATTATTTTAACAACAACAACAAAAAGTAGTTCAGGAAGTGAAAAGATAAAGTTATGGTCAGGGGCTCGAGGCATCTCTCTCTGGTTTCCTGCTCTCTTTCACAAAGCTTCTAAGTTGGATGGGAAACACTCATAGGTGCCTGTCTAGGGACTTCTATTTTTGCTGTTGTGTGTGCCAGGATCTCTTTGCCCTACCATCTGCTCCTACCTGTTGGAGACCAGATGCACGCTCTGCTTCTGAGCCCGCGTAGCACCAGGCCTGCAGCTGGGGCAGGCCAATGGGCTGGCAGGTGGCCGCCAGCTCCTTGCAGAGGAAAGCAAAAATCAGATGGACAGGAAGGTGGGCTCTGCAGGGTGCTGAGGGGTGCGGTCTGGCAGAAGCTACCCAGCTGGCATCACATGGTGCGGCTGTACTCGATGCCACCCTTGGTGGAGATGCCTGACCATGGTAGGAAGCTGCAGAGAAGGCTATGAGCCTGGCGGTAGATCCTATGTGGGATGGAGCAAGGGCTCAGGTTGGCTAGTGCTGAGCCCAGGTGCTGGATATAGTCCGTGGACTCTGTCAAGGAAGAATGACTTCCCCCATCAGTCCTGCCTGCCTGCACACACTGACACACAGTCGGCATACAGACGGAACACTGCACTTTGTGGAGGTCCAAGCACTCACTGAGAACTGCAGAGCACTGGAAAGCCTTGATAGAGGAGCCTTCTACTTTGAATAATAGCAATGGTAGAAGATGATGATAAAAGCACCTTTTGGGCAAAGCCTTTAGCTCAAAGACAGGATGCCCATTCTAAGGTGATACATAGGGAATGAGGCAGGGGTCTATCAGGAGACAACTGTTCCTGATCCTTCCCCAGACTCCCAAACCTTAGCACAGGAGGAAGAGAGCCCTGTCCTTTCAAGATGGGGCTCAATGGTGCTGATGCCTGGATGCCCACAGGGGCCTGACTTCACATGAGCTCCGTGGCCTTCCTGGTTCTGGTCACCTCCCTCTTCCCTGTTTGCTTGTCTTTGAGGTGAATGAACCCTAGACTTACTCACTTGAACACCACTCCCCCTGCCACCAACCCCACAACTGCTGTGGCATCTCCTGGTTTTCCTCCTGCCAGGGCTGGACAAAGAGCTAGAGGAGGCAGTGGGGTGGGGAACACTTTTGGGGTTGTGCCCCTACTATGAGGAAAATGTGAACCCAAGTGTTCAAAGAAAGTAAAAGTTTTTTCACTCATTCTTCTCTCCTGCTAGCACAGGCTGCCTGGGCAGGGGCTTTGGTCTGCTTTGCTCACTATTGACCCAGCACACCCAGCACAGGAGGTTGTCCATCAGTGATTGTGGAGCGGATGGATGGATCTTGGGCCCAAGGGGTTAAAACCCATCCCTCCTGCCAGGCTGAAGTTGGGGACCTCCTTTCCTCACATTGATCAGACCCATGCATAGCACACCTGATTATCATCTGAAGGTGAGCATGGAGCTGACTGACTGATTCAGCAGCCCCCAGCCAGGAAGTCATGTGTCCTCCCCCAGCAGCAAAGGATATAAGATGGTCCAGGGAGGGTGGCCGCCATTGATGTAGAGGACATAGGTGAAGCCATCTTTGAGGACCCCTCGGATGGAGTAGTAATAGGGCAGATAGTGATGCTGCCTAAAGTCTCTGTTTTCGTAGAAGTTTATCGCTGTGTTGTTGGTGGTGAGGACATGCAGGTAGATGGCTTTGCAGTGGTCCTGAGCTGTGGTTGATATGTGATCTTTTAAGCTTTCAAGTAAAAGGGAACCTTAAGAGAGGAGATGAGGGTTACACATAGTAAAGCAGTTATGTTATTTTGAGACATGGTCCAAGTTGCTGGGGGTCTTGCTAAGACATAGGTTCAAGACCCAGGCTGGTTTTGAACCTATGATTCTCTTGCCTCAGCCTCCCAAGTCACTGGGATTACAGGTGTGAGCCACTACACCTGGCATGGCAGGCCAATTAGAAAGGGCAATGAGGATGGGGCTGTGACTTCTGTGAGAGTCCAAGGTCTCTGTGCTCAGATCAGATCCCAGCCTCCTGTCACCTCCCACTGTGAAAGCTCATGGCCAGATGGAATTTGTGAGCTGCAGACCACTGTGGGCCACTTGCATGGCCTGGAGGTGCCCTCCTGTGGACTGGACAGACAGTGGAGGCACACCAATCTTTTAGACGATAAGAATAAACTGGAGGCCCTGAGCTTAAAATGAAGACTGCTGCTCACTGTTGTGACCGAGTGGAACGGGAATTTGATGACATGCATCTGATGAATGTTGGTGTGTTCTATTTCTTCATTTATGTTTTCTGCTCTCAATAGAGAGTGTCTAGCCAACAGACAGAGCTGTTGTGTGTGGTAGTAGGAGGGGCAAAAGGGTTGGTCTATTGTGAGGCCACCTGGGAGCAGATGCTGATCCAATTGTGACAGATTTGGGAAGGAAGCTACTGTGGAAAGGCCTGTGATGTGTGGAAAGAGTACGGGGAAGGCCAGTGGGGTGGGAGACGTGCTGGGAAGAGAGATAATGTGGGTCTGACCCAAGACAGGCAGGAGGAGGTGACTGAGGATCATTTAGAAGCTGGATTCATCAGGACAAGGGAAGTGACAAAATTGGGGGGGAAGGGTGCCCAAAACATAAGCCCACTGCCCCTTACCTATGCCATGCTTCCTGAATTCTTTCACTACTCCCAGACTTAGAATGTACGCAACTTGTGTGTCAACAGAGAAGTTGGAGGCTAGAATATCTCCATCCTAAAGAGAAAGAGATGGAGTCAGGATAAAGCACAGAGTACATGGCAGAGTCTGTCCGTGGTCTACGTGCCCACTCCCCTGGCCCTGAGGCCTGGAGCCACATGGGTGGGAAGGGAAGAACAAAGAGGGTAAGGGACAGTCACCCTGCCTGCCCATGGAACTGAGAGCATTTGGGCCCTGCTGGCAGAGGGCGGCTACTGTGAAGATGCACCGCGAGGGGCTTTTCTGCAGGATGAGAGGCTGCTTCGTGCCAAAACTAGGTAGCTTAGGGCAGGTACAAAGGCACACCTGTCCAGCAGGGATGTGTAGCAGGTGTTCAATACAGCAATGAGACAGATGGACAATTATGCCCCTGGTGGTCCTGAGGAGGGTGTGCAGGCGAACACATGCCCTCCTCCACTACCCATGCCAGGAAGAGCATTGCAGGGCTCCACCAGCATCTCCACGCAGAGCCCTGCATGGGACAATGGTGAATCCAGCCACCAACAGCTTCTTAATTCTTCCACTTCATAAAGAACAGGAAGGACCTGCCAGGTGTGTGGTTTGCTTCCTTAAGGATGGACGCTGGGCGACTCAGCCTTTTTGCTCCCCAATCATGCCGGGTGGGGTAGGCTTGGGCCCTGCTCTGAGTCAGCACCCCACCCACAGTGAACCCAGCAGATGTAGACTCTGCCTGAAGCCCTGGCTGACGGTGTTTAAGTGGCCCTGCCTTCCCCAGGGTCGAACCCACTCAGTCTCTCAGAAAGGCCCACGTGAGTGCTGGGGTGTAGAGGTTCCCCTCCTGAAGTCCAAGAGCAAAATGGTCCCCAAGCCTGCCTGGAGGGAAAACAAATACATTCCAGAAATTTCTAGTCACCCTTGTGGGGAAGCTGGCTGATGGCCTGGGGGCACCTAGGAAAAATCTACAAGAGGGAGAATCAGGTAACAAGGTAGGAGAAAGTGGGACAGTGTCCCACAGAAGAGGAAAGATCAAAAGAATATTGATCTTGCTCTCTCTCTGCTATATCTTAGCACTGAACAATGGAAGAAGAGGCTCAGGAGGAGCTAGGCTAGAAAAAGCTACTCTCAGATGAAAACAACTGTGCTAAAACAATCACACACGAATTGGGGTAGACATCAGTGGTCCTGGCTCCTTAAGAGGAAGAGATGTCGCCTTCCTTGCTTTTTGTTTGGTGCTGGGGATAGAACCCAGGGCCTCATGCAGGCTAGGCAGGCTCTCAGGTTTCCCCCTCCTTGGAGTAAATACCAGTGTGGTAAACACTATTGGGTCACTATGACCATAATTACTAGCAGAATCTATCAAAGTCAGTCAGGAGGAATGTGGTATGTGCCTGTGGCCTTACAGCTTATATTTAGAGCACGCGTGCCTACCTGAGGGTGCTGCAGATGCTCAGCATTCTGAGGTAGGTAGGGAGGCCTGAGGGGGATCTGTGAGGTTGGGTATATCTTTACTTTCACTAGACTTGAGCTGGAACTTAGCATTTCCTTGAACAAACCACAGTAGGACTGGCAGTTTCTATGGCATTGCCACCAACACAAATCAGACATTTTTGTATCACATGACAACTGTGCAGATATTCAATGTATCATTCCTGCTTCAAAATGATTGTCCTTGTTAGGCCTGCTGAGGTCTTATTACTTGCTGCATGTGTGAAGGCACACGTACTCCTATGTCAGGTACACATAGAAGCCGACCGGACACGAGTCTCATGCGCTGCTCTGAACCCTCAGGTTACAGGCTCCTGAGACACAGGGCCACAGTGCACTCGTGTGACTCTATCGCAAGTCCCCTGCAGCCATGTCCGGTGACTATCGTGTCTACCACCACACAGACGTACCTCTTTATGTATTTTGGTCCTGCTCTTAATTTCAGCTACTATCATTCCCACAATGGCACCTCTGTAGGTCGCAGCAAGGGAGAAGAACTTCTTGTTGGATGTGATGTCACGATACCATGAGTCTGGGTACCTGGGGAAAGACACACTCAGGTGAGCCTGTGGAGCTCTGGCCATCACTTAACTACCTGTCACAGCTCTCTTCTAAAAAGCAGCCAACATTCCAGGCAGGAATGTGAACTGCTGATGTAAAAATGATTTTACTAGATCTAAGGTATGAGAAAGGAAAGAAAACTCCAATAAAATTGCCTCCATGGAGCAATTCATGGAGGGAAGCACAAAGTGGCCTATTTCTCATCTGGGCAAGCTGAGATCTTAGGACCCTTGGTAACCCAGGACACTGGGTGATTTGGCACTGAAAACTCGTGGACGTGATCTGAGGAAGAGCCAAGTTCACAGGTGGGTGGCTCTGAGTTTCCAATACTTCCCTGGACGGGCGGGAAGGGGGGAACACAACCTCAAGGGCAACATGTCGTTAGGGCTGCTCACCAAGAAAGCCGAGATGCACTCCCCACCCCCAGGGGAACGTGGAGAACACCTCATGCAAAGGCCCAGGATGTGGTCATGTCAGGCAGATCCAGCACAGGTCAGGCGGGGGAAGGCATTGGGATTCATGGGTTTTCCTTCTTAAAGATGGGAGAGACCTAACAGGTTAGACTGGACACATTCTTCAGACCAAGAGCAGGAGGACGTGATACAGGGGCGCGGCGTTCTGCCCTACGCAGTTCTGCAAAGGCCACACCAACCATCCAGTGAGAAGTTCCTCACAGGGCTGAGTACTGCCCAAGCTCCTCCGAGCTCCAGGGGTACACAGCTGGCCCTGTGGTCAGAATGTAGTGCTGCTATCTCACAGTGCACAGACCAGTGCACAGACCATCATTCCATCTCCTGAGAGCCTGAGGCCTTAGGCCCACCAAGTTCTGAGAAGAGACCTCTGCATTATATATAGCACTTCACTGAACATATCTGTAATTAAAGTTTCTGAGCAGATTTCTTTTGGGGAACTTCACATGAGGAAGGAGGTGAGGTGGGAAGAGCCGTGGAGCAGACAGACACAGGGGCTGAGCTCCACTGCCCACCTGGTAACTCTGGACTGCCATGGCCCTTCCAGGCCTGCTCCTAACTGTACATTGTGACAACATGGGCTGATGGGTCCTCTTCCAGTTTCAGCACTTGTGGATCCATGTTCTCCCCTCACCCCTGCATCCTGCAGCTGGGACACAGGTGCCCAACACTTACTCGATGGGGAACCAGTCACCACACAGGTGCTTCACAGTGTCTATGTCATCGTGGCAGAGGAGACGCAGGCTGACCTCGCTGAGGGCACTGGATGGCACCACCTCTGTCATTCACACCTGCAGGGAGAGGAGGCAGCATTACCTCACATTACGTTCACCTGTTCTCTTCTGTACACTGACCCTGGGGGGCAGGCAGGCAGGTAGGCAGGAGGGGACATGGGGCTTCCCATGATGGAGTGTCTTCTCTCACACCCATATAGCCTCCAGGTGTCACGGTCACATCCTTTCTGCAGATGAGGAAGAGCTAGCAAGCTGTCCGTGGGATGTTTTTTCTTTCTTCTTTGTTCTGAGGTGCCACAGCTCCTCACAGTGGCCTGGCTTCATGTCTTATGACTGCGTCCCACAACTTCAGACGCACAACAGTCCCAGCCAGCCCGACTTCTTCCAATCATGGCTTGGCAGCAACCAAACACAGATATGGGGCTCATTCCCCTGGGGCCAGGGAATGGCTGGGTGTCCCAGGCAAGCAGTGCTAGCTAGCACCACAGTGGATCATACTCAACTTCTCCTCCGTCTAGCAAACACAGGCACCCAGAGTTCAAATCAACTGCCAGCAACTTTTAAACCCAGAAAGTACACTCAGCCCAGGCTAGTGGTTGAGCAGCTGCCTGTTTTACTCAGGAAGGAAGGAAAGAAGGAAGGAGAGAAAGAAAGGAAGAAAAGGCAAGTGAGGGAGGGAGGCCAAGAGCTGGGCTCTGACAAAAGGGAAAACAGTTTCCTCTTTTTCAAATTGAAAAATAGTAATCAAAATGGAAAGGGTTACACACTCATCCTGTCTTCCTAGGAGGAACTGTGCAGCTCACCTTAAATGGCCAAGGAAAAGTTCTTTTTTGTGTTAGTCTATTATTTCTTTTTTTGAGGAAAAGTTATCACAAAAGAACAAAATTCAGTAAAATTAGAAATAATGACAGAATCATAAAGTCACTATTTTGAAACTACCAAAGGAAATCTCAGAACCCAGACGCCATCAGAGTGTTAGACCAGCAGGTGAGAGGCAGGGAGGTAAAAGCCCGCTGACAGGCATCCAGCGGAGGGCCCTCCCCAGCCTTAGGTCAGCCCTGCCTCTCAGGCCTTGGGTTGGGACCAAGCTTCAGGGGTTCCTGCCCAAAACTGGTTCTGAACCCAATGGAGCCTTTAGACCAAACTTCCTAGTTGCAGATAACACTCAGCACAGAACAACAAGAGAAAAGAGCTCCAAGAAACTCAGATGTCTGACATTCCACATTAATTCTTTTCAGGAAGTCAAAGTCAAACATACAAAGTAAATGAGAAGAGACAAGGAGAACTAGATTTAATAAGTAAAGCCCTACCAGAGAAATAAAGTTGAAACAACACTTTGGGGAGACAAACAGCCTGGCCAGGAGGGAATGTTATGAAACTATTACTAATTTTCTTACATGCCATAAGGCAGAGAGGTAACATATTTCCTAGGAGATGAACGCTGAAATACTTGGGAGTGAAGAACCATGATGTCTGTTTTAAATGGCTCAAAAAAAAAAAAAATTTACCTATGAAGTGAGTATGACAAAAAGCTATCAACTTTTGAACCTAGTGGGTAGCAGGGCACACCACAGGCATCTATCACCCTATATGTGCAACTTTGCTATATCTGAAACTTTTCATGATAAATGTGGTCAGGGAAGGACTATCATTACTTGCCTCAGTCCAGGCACTGTGCAGAGAGCCAAGGGACCTGGACACTCAGCCATACCAGCTGCTCAAGGTCGCTGTGCCTGCCAACCTGACCATGGTTTATGTCTGAGTCGCCTTCAGCTTCAGCAGCCTGCAGGCCCCAGTGAAGGATGGAACAAGATGCCTACCCATCATTTCACCCCAGGCAGAGCTCTAGAAGTCCTATCAGCTAAGCTCTCACAACATAGCTGATTCTGAACAGGAAATCATTGCTTAGCTCTCCCCAGAAAGAGCAGTATGTGCACGGGCAAATGACACCAACCAGCAGAGCCATGGCCTGGGTGACCACAGGCAGACCTACCTCAAGAACTGAGAGGCTGACACATAGGAAACAGAAGCAGCAAGGCTTGGATCTCTGTGGTTGCCTGGGGCAGGGGACTGACCACAAAGGTCCTGGGGGTCAGGGAATGACTTCTTGGGGGATACAAGTGTACGTTGATTGTGGTGGTAATGATTACCTCCATACACACCTGTCCAAACAAGCTGAACTCTAAGGTACATGACATTGTCTGTGTATACAAACATCAATGATGATTTAAAAGCTTTTTAAAAAATTTTGTTGAGAGGGCTGGGGACATAGCTCAGTTGGTAGAGTGCTTGCCTCACATGCACAGGCCCTGGGTTCAATCCAGCACCACAAACAAACAAACAAGCAAACAAACAAACACAAATTTCTGTTGAGGCCTGATAGAAAAGAGAGAAATCCATAGTAAACTAGAATCTCTTATGTCCTGGGATTTACACATTTTTTTCCTTAGTATTCTTGGGACAAGGCTCTTCCCAGTTCCACTTTGAAGAAAAAACAGGCTGTGAGACACACAACTTTGTAGACTCTCCCATTCCTATTGAAAGTACTTCCATGTTTCTAAAGACCAATTCTTTAGAGGCCTTGGTGTAAAAACAAAAACAAGTCACATTCGACGGAGGGAGAACACTGTGATCACAGTGTCTGATATGACTGGCAGCAACGAGGTGGGAGATGCTGGCCACACTGTGCCATGAGAGGAGATGTCGGGCCACTGGCCTGTGGTTTACTAGCCTCCCTTTAGACCAGGGGTCTGTGCTGATCTAGAGGCCGAGACTCCCAGAGGCAGGGCTACAGCCCCATGTCTCCTCACCCTGCTCCCACCTCACACATCCTTTTGTGGGAAGGCTGGCCTTGGGCTGGAGCTGGTTAAAGGAGGTCTTTTGACTAAGCAGGTCCTCTTTTCAGGTCTGGCAAGCCATTTCTGGGGATCAGGGGCCTGAATCTGTGAGGATCACTGTTGCCACCCAACCTGCTCTGTGGGAGATCTGTGCCTATGAACATAAGTGAGAACAGACACCAAAACACCTCTATCTGGACAGGCTGAGACCACACAGGAAGCTTCTCTTCTGGGCCATGGTTGGCCTCAGGTGGCCATGCTGTCTGCCCATGCAGGGACATCCATCTCCCAGGCTCTCAATGCTGTTGGTAGCCAGTTCCTATGCTAAACAAAACTGTGAATTAACCCAGGTAAGTGTGGGGCCCCTAAAAATGGCAGGGCCAAAGCCTCAGTAGATGGCAAAGAATGTTCCAACCAACCCACCTCTGAGCCATCTCCTGACACAGGGCTTGGTCAAAGAACTCTCCAGGCCCACAGCAGCCCGCAGGACCAGTGCACTGGGCCTATGACTATGCGTTCCATTCACCTGAGAGGCTTTCCTCAGGTGATGAAGCACAACCAATGCCGGAAAGACAGAGTGACTAAGGCTTAGAGCAGAGCCAGGCTTGAGCCCTAGATGACTTCATGTGCCATTCACATGACCAACACTCTGGTGCTGGCACCTGTGGGGACCCTCATGTGCCCATCTGGAACTTTCCAACAAATACTTATGCCCCACTGCTCTAAGGTTACTACGAGACAGAGCCAAGAATCTCAATGACTCAGCTACAGTAAAGGGATTAGCAGAAAGAAGTCAGCACAGAGGCCCCGGGAGATGGAGACTGGCACTGTCTGTCTCAGGCCCTCTAAATGGAATGGGTACTATGGCTGTGCTGGGGGGATGGGGGCACCAAAGTCACAGACATGTGAGCCATCTTCTGGTATGTTTGCCTAAAAAGGCCTGAGACACATTTTCTATGACAAGCAGACATAGTATAGAGGAGAATCAGAAATTCACCTGACTTTTTAAGGCAGAACATGAGCTGGGGAGTTTCTCCCTGGATGTCCTGGCCCTTTGTCTTCAGGACATGGGTGACTGAAGCAATCCAAAGAGGGGCAGACAAAGGATCTTCCAAGACCCAAATGAAGAGCACGCCCTGCTGGAAACTGGACCCAACTGGCTCTGGTTTCCTCACTGCTCACTCCTCCTACCTCAATTTTGTGAGGTTGTTTGCAAACCACCCCCCACCCCTTTCATACTGAAATAATCCCTCCAGTCACAGGACTGAAGGCCACTTTTCCCTGAGGTCTTGTGGCAGTAGGAAGAGGCTGGCACCTCCACTTGTCACCATCCCCACTGGCAGAGCCAGGCAGGGCACCCCTTCATCAACACCACTTCCCAGGGCTTCCATGTGCTTGGCTCACATAGGGAAACAGAGCTGCAAGATACCCCAACATCCCCAGGCACAGGCACAGGCACATCCTGTGCCACACATCACTGCAAAGTGCTGGGGCATTCAGGATCCGAGGGACATAGAATCCCGCAGGTTCTAGTTTAGGGAGGAAGGGTTTCCTGGTGACACAGAAGCACTTCGCTCACACCCGGAGTAAGAAGGTGGGGGCAACCCTATTTCCTGGAGTTTGCTTTCCTTGGCAGGCCCAGTCCTGTTGCCCCCAAGTCCACAGGGGCCACCCACTTCTTCAGAGATGCTGCTTCTGTTACCAGACGAATCAGCAGAATTTTGAAAGCTTATCCTGCTCTCTTAACTGCTTGAGAGGTGCACTGGACTCCACCCTCAACCTCTGGAGCAGCCATCGGGTCCAGCCAGCATGGCCACACGACCTGGGCCTTCCTTCTCTTTCTTACCATGGCTCATCTTTGCCAGCGCCAGGCTGGCCCTCCACATGCCTTCTATGTTGTGCCCCTTGTGCTCCAGATCCTGCTGAAATCTAGAGTCCCAGCTCCCCAGGCTAATCCCAGCAACCATGAGTCCCAGGATGGCTCTCCAGCTCTGTGCTTCAGCTTCTTTCCTGTGACTCTAAGAGGATTCTACCACCTTCCTCCGAGTTTCCGGGAAGATGACACAGGCCCCAGCCAGCTCTACGTCTCCTTCCTCCCTGATCCACACAGGCCCCCATCCTGCATTTTACAATCTTCACTGCTGCACAAAATTCCCTCTAAGGGACCGTAGATATCCTTGTGCAAGAAACGTCTTTACAGGCCTCCCTGATGCCTCCTTG